ATCTATAACGGTGATGATAGGGGTGCTGGCGGTGGCCTGGGCTCTAATCCACCACGCGACCGCCCACAGGGAGATAAAAAACGCTCGAATGTTACTTTCAGGGAGAGGTTACTTCACCCTGCGGGCCAGGAGGAGAGGTCTACGCAGCGTTCTGAGCATTCAGACCCTTATCAAAGAACAGACATGGAAGGCCACGGAAAGAGAAAGGGAAATGCTAGGCAAAACCCTGAATACTCAAATCCGCAGTATTCAAACCCTCCTAGGAGTGACTTTACGGAGTCGGGCCATGGAGATGCCTACCAGTATGGAGAGGACTTTACGGAGTCGGGCCATGGAGGTTCCTATCAGTACGGAGAGGACTTTACGGAGCCGGGCCATGGAGGTGCCTATCCGTATGGAGAGGACTTTACGGAGCCGGGCCATGGAGGTGCCTATCAGTACGGAGGGGGCTTCAGTGCACAGGACGCATATCTGCAGTCACCAACACCTGCGCCTAGACCGGAGAGAAGCAACGCATACCCATTATCAAGCTCATCTCGACCAGGCCAGCAGGCCAGCATGGAGCTTCCTCTCCGTCCAAGAGACGAGGTTCGGTCCTCAAGGTCTGAGAGTTCCAGAGGGGAAAAGTCTAAGTCCTCGAAGAATACAACTAAGAAATCGTCACGCAAGAAATGAGGCGACTGAAGGCAGACGCTCTATCTGTGCCAACACTCGAGAAGTTAGTGGATGAAGATGGAATGATAGACTCGACAAATTATTATGAATCATCATAGAGCAGGTCTCTAGGTGGAAGGAGGATACGAAATTGCTTCATACGGGAAGTTGTCTGTTTTATACTTGTTTTTGTTCTGTTGCCTTTTTTCGTTGTTCTTTGTTTCTTATCTTTTTCTTTATTGCGTCTAGTTATATCTGTGTTTTGTATGTCCAAAGTAGTTCAATCTCAGTTGTTTCTCTAGAAATAATGTATATGACTCAGTAAGGATGATATATACAAGTATAGGAAGTAACAAAATAGCTAATAAAGATATGAAGTTAATCCGCAATATATACTGACACCAATATAGCGTTATCCACAATAATCTATCCACAGTTCTGGTCCTTGGGTTTAGAGCCACCAACATACTCAGCATAGTCGATCCACAGGTCAAAAATGTCTTGGCCGAAAAGCCCGTTCCAGAAAGTTTCACCGTTGACACCACGATACCCCTGTCTCAGAAGGCGGTCATTAATCAAGCCCACGGCGCCCGTTCCTATCTTGACGTCCTCGATCCACTCGAGGAAGAAGGCAGTACTCTGGTAACCCGCATCCCAACTCTTGGGCAAGTCGTTCACGGAAGCCGGACGTTTCCAGTGAGCAGCTCCAAGGCCAGCTTTCAGGCGGACAAAGTCCGCAATACCTTCAATAAGGCCGGAAGGTGGTCTTGGAGCCGAATTTCCCGGCGGAGAGGTATGCTGGTAGCAGTGCACAAGCTCGTGTTGGATGACTCCGGCTATCTCGGCAGTCGTGTCTTTCAAGCCGGCAGTGTGGGCGATATAGGAGAGTGATATATGGATCTCCTTCTTGTTGTTGTCTGAGCTCACCCCGATAGTATAGGCGACTCCCTGGAAATCATGGAGAATAAAGGAGACCGAGGTGGTCGGAGGCAGCGACGGGTTAAACTGGATCCGCCCACCGGATGCGGCTGAGTTGGACGGAGAGGTATAAATATATTTAACAATCTCTCCTATAGCCCTCTGCATGACCGCATATGGGTCTGGAACTGCCTTGATAAAGGTGCTTGATGCCTGGTTGCCCAGGTCTTCAAAGTGAAGACGCAGCGTTGGTTTGGGTACAGCTGGTGCAGCAGAGGCAGACAGAGGATGCCCACATCCCTCCTTTCCCCACTGAAGAGCGTTGTCAGAAACCTCCTTTTCGTCTGCTTCGACGCCAGCCCCTGGGGGAAGCAAGGAGGACGCGGGTGTCGGACGAACGGAAGAAGAGTCAGACATGGCTGCAGCTCTCAACTTGCACAGTATACTGTGTATGTGACGCATAGGAGGAGCAATATATGCCACAGACCCGAGTGATATATATCAGTTTCAACACCGCTTCGCCTTTCTTTTTCTCGCTCTCTTTTCCACAGGCTAGTCAGACGACAAAGATGTATGAATGTATAAACTTGAAAGTTAGACTCTAGGTTGCACTCAGCCGTGGAACACACATGACAGTAGTACTTGTGCCTGAGCGTCGGAACCGTGGTAGATACAACGAAATACTCACCCCGTCATCTCTGTAGCTGTTCTATCGTGTATCTATCCCGTATATCGTATGTCCAAGTCCTTGTAGTTTGGATGTTGCGAAAGGAGATGCTGAGTCAGCAGGTGGTCAAAACAACCGCAAAGACCGAAAGAGGAAAAAAGCAACATCAACGCCGCAAGAAGACGCAGAAGAAGAACAACAAACCCGCAAAACTCAGCAGTTTCACACTTCTTACTCTGGTCTCACAGGACTCGATTTAACACTCGTCGAGTTGCTCTCACGCTGCTCCGTATCATCAGTTCCCTCTCTCGTGTAACTACGAGGGTCTATCTACAAAAACAAGATTAGTTAAACCGGGCAGTTCGACCCGCACCATCAACAACAGCAACCCTTTTCTCCCTGGCCGCCACACCCCCAGCAACCGAGAGCCAAACCCAAGCTTTTTATTTTCTCATACGGACAAACACCCGGCGACCACTGGCCAAACGACTATCCCAAATGACATTTGCGATTGTGCGACTCTGACAATGGATGAACGAGCCACGGAGCTATTAGCTGCCCTGCGCAACACCTCCCTCTCTGTCGACGCGAAGATAGCATCGCTGACCAAGCTCAAGTCGGAAATCAAGCAGAGGAATGTTCCTACGTCTGCTGTGGGAGATATATTCGATGCCATTCGCCTGGCCATTGCGTCACAGCATGCCTCTCTCTCTGCTGGTGGCTTCTCCGCACTCGGTCATCTGCTGAAACGGCTCTACCTCCAGGAACAGACTGCACTGATCGCCAGCCAAGGGCGCCATACGTACTCGCTGCTGCTGGAAAAACTTGGTGATCACAAGGAGCGAGTGCGGGCGCAGGCATCCCAGGCGTTTGCAGACTTTTGGCAAGCATCACCCACCGAGACTGAGCATCATGTTCTAGAGGTTGCCCTCGTCGGCAAGAGCCCGAGAGCAAAGGAGACTAGTATGATGTGGTTGGTGAAGGTGTGCACTTGTCTGCCGTTATTTTATGCTTTAAATATAAACGCCAGCTGACCGTTCGGTTGTTATGTAGATGACAAAGGAGCGGGGGGTCCTTTTCCGCGCTCATGTCCCCAGTCTCGTGGTTGGCCTCGAAGATGCCGACAGTGCCGTCAGAGAAACGGCCAAAGCCGCCGTGATCGAGCTATTCCAGTAAGCAAGGCAGTGCCCGTTTTATGTCACTTGTTAATGCATACCCTCTGACTCTATTTTGTCTAGGAATGCGCCTTCAAGAGCAATATCAGACCTAAAGAAACAGATACAATCACATAATGTCAGGCGGTCTATCACTCTGTCAATATTTGCAGCCCTCGGGATCAATTCCATCTCTGATGCAGACCTTCCATCCTCCCACTCCGGAATGGCTGCTCGGCCAGGAAGCAGTTTCTCCCACCGTCGTGAGGAACCGCCAAGGCCCAACTCCGTTCTTTCAACACGCTCACATCCCAACCAAGATGGAAGCGGTATGCCTTGCCACTCCCTAAATTACTTGGAATTATAGCCGGTCTAACACTACTTCCAGGTCGAAATGATGACTCTCATTATGGTCTCTCAAGGCCTCCCAGAGGTGATCCACCCCGAAAAGATGCACTCTCGCATGCCGCCAGCATTGAGTCCCTCTCCGCAGTTAGCCTCGAGCCCGAGGAACCCGTATCCCTTGACCCTATTACTGTATACTCAAACCGAGAAGTAGACGAGATGTTCCGGGACATGATACCCCATTTTGAAGGCAAGGAAACGGAACATAATTGGCTACACCGTGAAAGAGGAGTTCAAACTTTACGAAAGTTGACAAAAGGGAATGCGCCACACGACTATCAGGCTCACTACCTGGCAGGTATCAAACAACTCTTAGACGGTATCCTAAAAGCTGTCAACTCGCTACGTACTACGCTATCGGCTGCGGGATGTTCTCTTGTCCAAGATATTGCTCGAGTAAACGGACCAGCTATCGAGCCAATGGTGGAGATCCTGCTTCAGAATCTTATTAAACTCTGTGGTGCCGTTAAGAAAATTACTTCTCAGAGTGGGAATATTACCGTTGATACCATCATCGGCAATATCTCTTACTCCACACGTCTACTTCAACACATGTGGGCTGCCTGTCAGGATAAAAACACACAGCCTCGGCTTTTTGCTACTGGGTGGCTCAAAACGCTCATGACTCGACATGCTAAGCAGAAAAACGCGATTGAACATAGTGGTGGTGTTGATCTGATTGAAAAGTGTATTAAGAAAGGTCTGGCCGATGCAAATCCAGGAGTTAGAGAGAATATGCGTGGAACTTACTGGGCTTTTGCACATATTTGGCCGGATAGAGCTAGAAGGTACGTTATTTCACCATATGATTGGCAGGATATACTTTCTAACCGCCCCGTATAGCATTATTTCTGAATTGGACACGAAGTCAAGGTCTCTTCTTGAAAAGGACTCAGGGAACCCGAATGCTGCAGCACATGCCTCAAACACTACTACCTCTCGCAGTGGGCAGTCGCAGACATCGTCAGCTACAAGGATGACTTTGAAAGAAACTATTGCTGCACAAAAGAAGGCTCGGCTAGCCGCAGCCAGAAACCTCCCTCCCCGCCCAGAATCCGCCCAATCTACCTTCTCTGAACAAAGACCTACCAGGCCCACTGTGCACAGACAACCCGCATCTTCCTCCTCTGTCCGAAACGTGGCTACTGGATCACAGCTGTCATCCTCCACATCATCTGCACAAGGAGGATCCCTTTCATCAGCCCCAATGCGTCCAGCCATGCGCCCTCGCAGACCAGAGTTAATGAGGCCGGCAACTGCAGATCCTTATTCTCGGAGGAATGCTCCCCTCAGTGCTCAATCAAAGATTTTAAGCCCCACTAACAGCCCGCAAAGGTCCAGCCCAAAAACGGCGCCTGCCCCCCGCACCAGGAATCCCCCAGCACGGCCCAAGTCTAGGATGGAAGGCGTAACTACAAATACTATCCAGAGAAAGGCTGCGGCGTCCGAGCCCCCAACAGTCCAAAGGGCCGAACCAAATTCTATCAATCTAATACATCCGGAGCCAGAGCCAGAGCCAGAGCCGGTCATTCCCACCTCTCAAGTAGTAGAAGAGGCTGTTATGAGTCCAACCAAAGCAGATGAGGAATTTACCATTGTTTTGCCTGATATAATTAGCCCAATGCAAGTTGAAGTGCCTCAGACTCCAGTTTCTGTTCCAACGGCCGCCGCAATTGAATCTACAGTTGAAAGCCCAATTGTGGACCCTATTGAAATACCACTAGAAGCATCAGTTGAAGCACCAAGTGAGACACTAGTTGAAGTGCCAATCGAGTCACCAGCTGAGGCACCTGTCCAGGCACCGGTCGAAGAGCCAGCTGAAATACTAGCTGAAGCACCGGTCGAAATACCAGTCGAAGAGCCAGTCGAATTGCCAACTGAAGTGCCACGTGAGCCGGCCAGTGCCTTGGATGAAACCCCGACCGAAACCCCAGCTGAAACTCCGGTGGAAACAGCAATTGAAATCCCAGTTGAGGCTCCTATCGAAGTTCCTGCAAACATTCCAGCCGCTATTGACCCAACCGATTTACCTAATGCAGATACAAATCTCACCGAGTCCTTCATTGAAGATATGCCCAAGGTCCAGCCAGAACCTCACAAAGATGCTGTTGTTATAGGCGGCCAAATTACTCCTCCCCGACAACGTCAACTTAGTACAACCCCTCGATCAAAGATCCCTACTTCTCCTACATTTCGCCAACATAGCAGGGAAATTACTCTCTCTAGCCCCCTTCGTACTCCACCAAGGAGCCATATTCGGCCCTCTGAACCAGAAATCTCTACCATTGTCAAACTATCTCCGCCATCTACGTCTGCCGATTCCAATGGAACGACGGCTCTTAAAGTATACGAAGACCCCCAGTCGCCTATCTCAAAAACTACCACTTCTTCACCTACAACACCACAAACAAACCGGCTAGTCTCGATAACGAAACCCCTCGAGATTCTACCTCTAAAGGAACCTTCGAGTACTAACCGCAAATATAACCAAGATACCCAGAGTATTGCTCCATTATCATACTCTCCACCAGCCCCTGCTTCTAATGAAAATTCCCATCGGCGATGGAAGAAAGTTGAAATATCGGAGAGACGAAGGAGCCTTAGTCCTCACTCAAAAGACCCTAACAGGGCCCAAGACATGATCGATAGGGGACTTATGAGGATCCGAACTTCCTCTCTGGATGTCCATGGGTACAGAAAATTTCAGGGCCTTATCCGGTACCACGAAACCATCATAAATGATGAAGCCAAGTATTCCCAAATCTTGCTTGCATTATTCGATGCGTTAGAATCTCCCGATGGAGACAAGGTTTCAAGCACAAGCCGATCTTTCGACTTGAAGACGCAAATTCTCTTTACCATACGGCTCATGCTATCTCAAAACAGAGAACACTTCTCAAAATTTTACTCCAGGGCGATGATATCGATCATCAAGACACGGAAACATTACGATATCACAAATCACATTGTATCGGGCCTTGAGGAAACTTCTGAAGACATTGTTCGTGCTTGCAACCCACAAGAGGTGGTCGATGCAATTCTTGACCTACTCGAAACAGAAGAGAAGTCACCAGAATCGAGCCGCATGGTATCTATGGGCACGTATGTGCTCTGTGGACTGTTACATCGACTAAACGATAAGAAACTCTACTTCAGTGACCCCGAGCTCGAACGCCTCGGCAAGTTCGCCAGCGAAAACCTTAGGAATCCCCAGCCCGATGTTCGCCGTGCAGTCATGGACTTCTGCCTAGAACTGCACGAGATGGCAAAGCCAGAGGAGAAATTTTGGTCCATTGTCAACTCCCCGGGAGAAGATGTTCGACCGCTCCTAACATACTATATCATGAGGAAACCCAAGACTTAGTCTGAAGCCTCATTCAATTTTCTTCATTTAAAAATATTGCTTTCTCGAACTACATATCTTGCACCATACCCTTTGACCTTGGACAATCCTATACTCTCTTTAATATCTCCCGACCAAATCGTCGAATTTTTCATCCCTTTTTGCCCCTTTAATATTTCACAATGCATGCAATGTATCGCATTCTGTACGCTGTCACGTTGTGAGATGAACTGGGGCATTTTCTAGCCAACGATGCTGAAGCGTCAGGATTGTATTATTTGTTACTAGTTTTTTATTACCCTTTTCTCCCCCGCATTTGTTTCTGGCTTCGCTAGCATACATTTAATTCCTTTCTATATATTCCTTTTCCCTTCTTCTCTTCACACTTCTGTTGCATTCAATTCCGTCCCCAGGTTTTCTTCTTCCTTTTTTTCTCTCTCCTGGGGATACTTGAAAACCTTGCTCGACATTAGCGATTCAGTCCTTGTTGTACCCTTGCCATTATTCCAGGCTACCTCTATGCATGCAACGGTAAAAAAGAGGAATGATATGTGTTGGAACCGAGGAGTTTGGTCTGAATCTGAATTCTGGATTGGGCAACGAAGGTTAAAAAGTGTTTTTTTCTTTTCTTTTCGTGGGCTTCCGTGTATGCAGGATGATATCTCTAGCTTCGGGAATTCACACTTTTATTCTGGTTGCTTACGGCGTAGGCAGATTCTGTTCAAGTATCTTGTATAGATTTATTGCCCCTTCAGATGGACGGGCCAAATGAAGTTTTATCTTCCGAGCTTTGATAGTAACTAGCTATACCCCGTGTACAGTCGTTCTCAAAATCAGTTTAACCGCACATACATAGTAATAGTTGTTTCCAGCCTCACTGCTAAGCTCCTGGCGCGAGTTATTCGTTGATGCACTCTTTATACCCTCCGAACGCTCTGTATTGTATATCGTCTCGGATATACATCGTAGGCTCATATCTCACAGTATGCAAGCGGCTCAAACCACTGACCATGCGCTGCTTCAGGAAGAGAGAATGTTTTCACTCGGCCTTCCTCTATAGTTGGAGGAGGGCTATGGGACGACGAGAATATATGGAGAACAAGGGGAAAAGGGACATCGTTGTGATCAACTGGATTGTATAATGCGGAGGAGGTGGCATCTACTAGGTACTCTAACACAGGGACGAATCCTCGAAAAAGACTATGGAACCACCATGATGAATATCTCGTTGAAGGAGGTATTGCGGCGGATGAATACCGTATTCTTGCTATTTTCGAGGGGCGTGGCCCTGAACGTGAAGTCGCCTTTGAGTCCCGTTTTTATAGGATTTCCACGACCATTCCTAGCGAATATTTTCCCGGAAGAAGATCGAATGACGCACTGGAGGATATAGAAAAAGCAATCAGTGGTTATCCTCATGCTTTTTCTACTCTTCAATACAGGTAGTAGGAGCGAAAGGAGCCCTTAGTCTAATTATATCATCTAAATGGGTTGATCCATCTGCTTTCTCCGTAACTTCTGCTGAGTTTAAGGATCAATGGCATGTATTATTCGGTAGATTATCATATACCTATGTAGTTGTAATAGTACTCTGAGGTAATAGTTTTCGTGAATGGAGTACGGCAGGTAAACATTGACCATACCAACATCAACTCTGAGCCAAAATTTGTAATATTGTTCAAACCGGTAAGAACTTCGTATATTATTAATTTATCTAGCAGTCACTAGAAACAACTGGTGTATTTTATATGGTTCTCAATGAGAACAGTTCCCTACGCTTGAGGGTATTTAAGTAATACTTTTCGTCGCGAGTTAAAGGGGGGGAGGGGAAATCCCAAACCGATGCCATATGCCTTTCAATAACCTCAAGAGCTTTCCTTATATTCAAAAGGAGGTTCCTGGAAGAATTTCTCCCTTGGACACATGATTAACGCAGCACGCTTGTGAGGAAGGTCAATAAACTTATTAATATAATATCCGTTTGCTTGGTCATACGCGAGGACCTTGGCCCCAGTTGCCCTTGGTTCGCCAACGACCAAGTTGGTCCGAGGGTCATCGAGGAACATGTAATGAGTTAGGCAGGTGTGCCAGGCCTTGACACGGTGAGGGCCACGGAAACGAGCATCTCCTACAAGGAAGTGTCGACCACGGTCATAGTCACCGGCATCGTAGTACGGCCCAATGGCGTCCTCCTATGTATGCAATCAGTATTACATTCACTTCATAACCATGTGTTTTTCTTTTCTAAGGTAATTGCTTACCTTGGCCCAATAAATTTCATAATAGGCGAAGAATGTATCATCAAACTTGGCTAGGACAGGGAACTGATGGAGATCCTCATGTATATTTCGTAGATATTGACGATGCTGCTCCAGTGTTCCAGTTTCGTTCCAACCTGCGGCAACCCTGGGATCATTCTGCCATACATGGAAATAGTTGACATGTTCCTCGTTGGTCCAGTCAAGCGCAACCATGGAGAATGTTTCCTTCAAATGTGGGATATAACGGCTGTAAATGGTAGAGCCTGGTGTTGGCTTCGCAGGGCGGATCGGGTGAGTGGTGTGAATCCGTGATGAAGGGAATTTGGTGGTTAATGAATAATCTAGAGCACGAGGAGGGAAATCCGATTCAAATGACGGGGAAACATCCGTACTTTCAGTCCCAACAACCCAAATCGGCCTGGGTCCAAAGGGGGAGCCGGCACCCTGCCAGAATGACCGCCGAAGGACAACTAGCTGGCCAATATGATCTTCGGAGGTAGGAACTGGCTGGCCTGGAGGTGCACTCGGCGCTGGGTGAGCGACTACCAGTCCGACGGCTTCAAGCTGACGAGCTAGAACATCACTCCCGGCACCGTTTAATGTAATTCTGAACACTTCAAGTTCCGGACGGACTGTGAGAATGCAATACACGACAATCCAGACCTGGCCGACAGTGGGAGTATCATTTCCTTCCCATTTGAAGTTAGAGATCGGATTCTTTTTGGCCCGGGCCCAGGCCGAGTTGTTATTGTCCGGGGGGATCTTTGAAGAATCTTCCATGCAGAGGTCCGTGAACGTAAGGCTAGAATGGTGAAGAGTTACTTTTTGTGGCTTCGACTCTGCGCCTGTCTCACCACATAACTGCACCCGGAGTGCCTTTGGGGTACAGCCAGGGGATGCTTCAACAATCTCATAGCCGGCATTCTGCGGTTCAGGTATGCGAACGAAAGGAGCACGCTCCTGTGAGAGTACAGAATAATTCGACATGATCAGTTATGTGTGAACAGTCCAGAAGTAGCCGAAAGGTGGGAGAGAGAGGTGAGGGGATCCCGAGGGTCAAAATATATTCGTTTTGATTGTGAAATATAGTCACAAGAACACTGAAATACGAATGCAATATGATGCAACTTAAAGAGCTAACGTTCTTCGGAGAGAGGAAAAGTGACGGTATCCGTGATATATCATGCCATTGAGGAGCGTTGGCGAAACCCACTAGTGGATAGTTGCTCCGGCCATTTCCATCTGATAAAAAGTCACGGAATGTAAGGTTTAGCAAGCCCCTGGACGCTATCCGTGACCGACAAACCCACAACAGGCCAGGTAAGCCATTCAAAAGTTTTTCCGTAAAAAAAACTGCAACGTGTCAGGGGTTGACATAGTTAGCTGGACACCGCAACAGGCACGAAACTAAACAACGTGGAGCCTTATCTGATGTCGTGTGAATTACTGGCAAGCTAATCACGCATGCCAGGGAGCAGTCGACTGGTGCTGTTCTTCCGTAGCCCCAAGATACATACCTATAGAACGGGCTGTGTATATACATGTAAAGAACAAACCTTGGGCGCTTTTTTTTTTTTCTCAGCGCTAAAAGTCAAGACAAAGTTATCAGATGGAAAAAAGTGGGTCAATCTCATCTTATCTCTTTTCCTTTTGTTTCTTTTTTTTCTTTCCTTTTCCCATGAACTTTTTTTTGGTGGAAGTCCGAGATTTCCCTTCAAAGGATGGAGACAGTGTCTCTTCTCATGTGGTGTCTGGCAGCCATGCCTCTGGCCTACTCTGTAGGAATACGGACTGACAGGAGGACAAGTGTTTCAGCTATCCCAGATCACCACGGCAGGCCCCTGGTCGAAGAAGACTCTCCTTGTGCCTCCCGCTCTCCCTTCGCCTCGTGTCCGAAGGGCATAGTATGTATTAGCATACTATGGATAATGTGAGGGTGACGACGATTTCACACTAAACCTGGGTTTGTGCAGTGACGGGGCTTATACCATGTCTTTTATCCCTGCAATCTGATAAAAGAGAAAAGTCTTTTCTCCCCCCTTCTGCTGGTCCCGCTGTGGGAAACCCACTCCGTGCCTAAAGAAAAGGTTTCTTCTGGCCGAGAATTTGCCTGGAGAGGCCTGCTGGAATGGTCTCCGGTATGCATGCGTTTAAACTTCTTTGCCCGTGATGAAGAGAGATTCTTCTTCCTTTTTTTTTTGCCGTTCCTATTACCCCCGGCACCCCGGCATTGTATATATATTATAATACGTTTTTTCCGGTGGGATGAGCTGTTATATGCTATTGATCCAGTGCCAGCTCCTCTCGCCCCAGAAATCCGATGGCTTGTGTTGGCTCAATTGAAATATCCTATTCGCCTGCCCATCTCTCACTCAGTTGATAGCTATCCTGTCGCTCCCCGGGTCCTTTGGCCTTTCATGGTTAATGAGAGTACTGGAGTGTAGCTCCCCATGGCAAAAGATGAGAAAGGCTCCCCTACGGGAGGATCGATCGGCGATGTCGCAGCAAATACTAGTAACCAGGTACAGCCACTGCCACAGGGCCAGTTAGAGGTATGTTCGAACCTCCCAGTTGGCCTGTCTCCTCTCTAACATATCAATTGAAGTGGTGGACAAAAACTCGGATGTTACTCTCTCGAGAAAATACCATAACCCCGACGTTTGGATACTTTCGACTGTTGTTTGGGACGCAACCTGAAAAGACGGATATCGCTCTGATAGTTATTGGAACAATTGCTGGGATAGGCGCAGGTATCCCATTTCCTCTGTTAGGCATCCTATTCGGTGCATTAGTCGATGACTTGAACTCGTCGACATGCTCGACTACTCAGGCTCCGTCCGGGGGCTATCAGGCTGCCATCACCACAAAGGTGTTGCAGGTCATTTACGTCTCGATCCTAAACTTTGTGTGTATGTACATCCATACTGGGTGCTGGAGCATGGTCGGCGAACGCCTGGTGCGACGTTTACGAACCAAATACTTCCACAGTCTTTTGAGGCAGGAAATATCCTACACAGACACTCTCCCTTCTGGAGATGTCACTTCTCGACTGGTCAGTGATATCGAAGTGATCCAGGCAGGAACCTCAGAGAAAGTAGGCCTGTTTATCGGTACTATCTCCTACTTTGTTGCCGCATATGTTGTTGCATTCCTCAAAGCTGCTACTATCGCAGCCATGCTCGTGTCAGTTGTGCCAATTTACTTCCTCATGGCCTTTGGAGGAGGACACTATATAAAGAAATACTCTGGCAGAATTTCAACCCATATCAACGCTGCCACGTCAATTGCATCCTCCAGCTTGTCACATATGAGCATTGTCCATGCATTCAATGCGAATGCGAGGCTAGAGACCTTGTTCGCCCACCACCTCGTCAGTGCAAGAATGGACGCTTTAAAAAAGGCCATTACACATTCCATACAGTTTGGCATGCTTTATTTCGTAGCATACGCATCGAATGCGCTTGCATTCTGGCAAGGGAGCAAAATGATTGCTGATCTTGCGGACGGTAAACCCTCCAATGTCTCGGTTGGCGCGGTCTACACCGTTATATTCGTTTTACTTGATGGTTAGTATTCTCACATTGATAGACTTGAGAATAAATGTCTGATAATACTATCGTCTAGCTTCGTTCGTCTTGAGCCAAATGGCTCCGTTTATGCATATTTTTGCTTCCGCAGCATCTGCGGGTGATAGGCTCATGGCCACTATCAAACGCCAGTCTGCCATCGACGGGACTTCTTCTGAGGGTGACACATCCATTTCCCTGGCTGCGGAGGAAATCGAGCTTCATGATGTTACGTTCAGATACCCAGCTCGGCCCGAGGTTCCTGTTCTGCAAGGTGTGAGCTTCAAGATTCCTCCAAACAAGCACACTGCCATCGTAGGAACCTCAGGAAGTGGAAAATCGACTATTGTAGCACTCCTGGAACGACTATACGATCCTATCACTGGCTGTATCCGCGTTGGAAATCGGGACCTGAAGGAAATCAATGTCCGACATCTACGTGGGAGCATCGGGTTAGTTCAGCAGGAACCAAATCTGCTTGATCGATCTATACTGGAAAACATTGCCCATGGTCTCGTTAGTTCATCGCAAAAGAAACATGAACATCTTCTCTCCACCTTGTTGGACTCCAGCCTTTCCGACCTTACGGAGAAAATGCGTCAAGGTGCAAGCGAAGACGAAGCTGTAGCAGAGCATGGAGATCTAGTTCGAGAGATTGTCAATCTCGCACGCCACGCGGCTACGCTGGCGAATGCGATCGACTTCATCAACTCATTGCCTGACGGTCTGGCGACAAGAGTAGGAAGTTCTGGTGCAGAACTGAGCGGTGGTCAGAAGCAGCGAATTGCCCTTGCTCGTGCCCTTATTCGTGATCCTCCGCTGCTGCTACTGGATGAAGCCACGGCAGCACTTGACTCTACCAGTGAACGACTGATACAGGCAGCATTGAACAAGGTGTCTGAGAATGTGACGACTGTTTCTATTGCACATCGACTGGCTACTGCTAAGGATGCCGACAACATCATTGTTATGCAAAAAGGAAAAGTTATGGAACAAGGCACCCATATGAACCTCGTAGCACAGGACGGGGTGTATGCTGGTATGGTCCGGCTGCAAAACCTAGGGAAGTTCAGCTCCTCCAGCTCGATCATGACCGAATCTACTCAGATTGATATCCATCCCGACCGATCTCTTAACACTACCGATACGTTCGTGAATAAAGAGGAGGCATTGGCCGCGGAGCAACGTGCTCTCGACGAAAAAGAGAAACCTGCCCAACTATATATACCTAAAGATGCAGAAGCTGTGGATGCCGAGTCTGAAGAGAAGAAGCAGGAGAAGCCAAAGCAGGGTCTACTGGCCACGATGAAGGGGTCATTTCCACTTATTCGTCCGAATCTTCTGCTTATCGCGCTTGGCCTGGCTACCTCCATCATGATCGGAGTCAGTTATACGGGTGAAGCCGTCATATTCGGCCACACGGTAGGCAGTTTGAGCATCTGTAGAGGCGGCCCAAGCATTCGTTCCAGTGGTATGCTCTTTGGTCTGCTCTTCTTCGTCCTTGCGGTCGTCAAATTTACGGCCGTGATTGTGAATGGAGCTGCATTTGGTTGGGCAGCTGAAAAAACGCTCTATCGAACACGGGTTCTCTCGCTGCGCTCACTTCTTCGCCAGCCATTGGAATGGCATACGGCGGATGGACGGACGCCTGGGCTATTGATTGCTCACGTTACGAGTGATGCTTCGGCCCTTAGCAGCTTAACAGGCACAACCATCGGAGTTCTGTTTTCTACCGTTGCAAACCTATTTGCAGGTGTTATCTTGTCACATATCATTGCATGGAAGATAGCGGTAGTCCTCCTAGCTACCCTACCAGTCCTACTCGCTTCCGGTGTCCTTCGACTCCGTGTAATGGCTCAGTATCAAAAGAAGCATCAAAAGGCATACGCAAAGGCGACGGCCATTACTGTCGAAGCAGTTGATAACATCAAGTCTATTGCAGCATTCTCTCTCGAGCGTGAAGCCTATAGTGTCTTCAGCCGCTCTCTGAAAGCTCCATACAAGTCGAACATGAAGTCAGTCTTGTATGGAAACTTCTGGCTCTCGCTGGCATACAGTATCAGCACGCTGGTATATGCACTGGCATACTGGTGGGGATCGCAGCAGATTCTGTCCGGAATGTATACCCAGGTTCAATTCTTCATCGTCCTGCCTGCACTGCTGTTCAGTACGCAGTCGTGTGGCCAGATGTTCGCCCTGGTACCTGATATCTCCAAAGCCCGCATTGCAGCCTCCAACATCGTCGATCTCCTATCCATCAAACACGACGGAGACGAAGAATACGAACAGGCCGGCTCCAAGGCTGCCAGACACTCTGATCCACGATTCTACATGAATGAAGATAAGCCCAGGGACGTGGAAGCCCAGGTAAACACCACCACTCCATCGTCTTTCCCTACAAAGGGCATGGGTGTTCAATTCCGCAACGTCCACTTCCGGTATCCTTCTCGCCCCAACCAGCCTGCACTGGATGATTTGACCATCAACATTCTTCCAGGCCAGTTCTGCGCACTGGTCGGTCCATCCGGCTCCGGTAAATCGACCACCTTTGCCTTGCTGGAGAAATTCTACAACCCAGCTTCTGGCTCCATCTTCATTGACGGGGTAGATATAACCAAACAGTCAGGCGCTTCCTTCCGGGATACCATCTCCCTCGTACCACAGGAGAACGTCATGTTCGAAGGCACAGTGGCATTTAACATCGGCCTAGGCGCCCGTCCAGACGTGGAGGCGACACAGGAAGAAATCGAAGAAGCATGTCGTCTGGCGAATATACACGACACCATCGCCGCGTTGCCTGACGGGTATAATACTGTCTGTGGACAGGATGGGAAACAGTTCAGCGGCGGTCAGAGGCAGCGGTTGAGCATTGCCAGGGCGTTGGTGAGAAAGCCTAGACTGCTACTGCTGGATGAATCGACTAGTGCACTCGACGTTGAGAGCGAGAAGCATGTACAGGATGCGTTGGTGAAGGTAGCACGTAAGACGACTATCGTTGCTATAGCGCATCGGTTGAATACGATTCATCGTGCGGATAGGATCTTTATGATTGAGGGTGGGAAGTGTGTTGACCAGGGGACGCATGCTGAGCTGGTGGAGAGGTGTGAGAGTTATAGAGCGAACGTTATCCACCAATCGTTAGATACGTAAAAAAAAAAGAGTCGAGGATGCATGTAGATAGATTTTTCACCATTTCTGAACATATCTGACAGAATATTTTAGAATGGTATACGGATAGATTAATATATAAAATGGCTGGTACTTACCTGTAGGGCGTTGTGTATTTGATCAGTCTATCAAAAGGAATTCCATTCTTACCACCTGCAAAAAATATACATAGCGTGACAAAAAGGAAAAGTAAACCCGAGAAAAGAGAGAGTATAGACAGGGGCAAAAAACAAGTAAGAATTGTTTTATCTATATGTAGACATGTTACACAGTAAGAGTAGTGGTTATTCAGATACAAAAAAGAGAGGGATGCAAGCGATAAATGCCACTCTACTTGGACTCTTCTGGGTATAGTTCCTCCTGGAGGACGATACCGAGTTCCTCTCGTAGGTCCTTGAGTTCTTCGAGGTAGACTTCGTACTGGGACTTGTTCTCAACCTTTGATCGGATACCTGGGCTCCGAGTTAGACATATATGCAAGAGTCAACAGGATCAAAGAGACGTACCCTCGAAAACACGGACGGCGGTGGGGAAGTCGTTGACTCTTCTGGCAGCCTTGAGAGCGGCGGTCATGACGGCGACGGATGGGACGAGATCGTAAGCAAAGGCGTTGTTAAGGTTTCTCTACACAGCGTATAATGAGTCGTCATGGTCTGGAGAAGATAAAAGAAGATACCGGCGAGTATAGCTAACCTGCAGCTCGAAGACGTCCTGTACGCTGTCGAATTCCTTCTCATATCTACTTTTTCGTCAGTACCTCCGTTGAAACGTCGAATTCTGCTTGAAAAATACAAGAGACGAACCGGGCGGAGAACTGCTCAAAGGTCTCCTCGTCGTGAGCACCGCTGTATCGCATGGGGGTGGTGCTGAATGCGCTGGCTCTGAGGACCGGAGCAGGGACGGCGGCGGATACTCTGGCACGAGCGGCGTATGGAGCAGCCTTGAAGAAGGAAGAGGCGGCCGGAGCGCGCGTAGCGAGACGGAAGAGGGTTGTGGAAGCCATTGCGGGTGGTCAATTCGACGCTCGGAAGACGGAGTAAGAGCTGTACGGGACGGTGTTAGTGCCAGACAGGGCCAATTGAGGGCGAGAGAGGGAGATAAAGCTCACGGTGGAAGCGGTCGGGATGTGGTTGTTGTTTGCTGTGACGTTGAAAAAGGAAGATTTTCTGGCAGGTTTGGATGTTTCTTGGTGCGGGTCACGGGACCGTCACACCACTCACGGTCATAGTATAAATAATATAACAGCTGCACAGGACGGAGCACAGCATATATGCTACGGCTAAACAGGATGCCAAAAGCGAGCAGGAGTAGTAAAAATAAAAAAGACGGAATATACCATAGAATAGATGGGTGTATAGAAGAAGGGCAAAAAAATGGACTGTCAGGGAATCGAACCCTGGACCACCCCCATGCTAAGGGGGTATTATACCACTAAACCAACAGCCCGAGTCGATGGAGATGCTCGACTGTAGATTTATTGTCAATAGATGGACTTGAGAGAGTAGTAGGCAGAGTAGAGAAGAAGAGAAGGGAAGAAGAGTAGAAGAGAAGAGAAGAAGAGAAGAAGAGAAGGGAAGAGCTGGAATTGGCTAGAGTAGCAAGTAGTTGAGTAGTACATCTGCGCTTGTTATGCTAGCATCTGCTTGCCCATGGCTCCATCGTATACTATACACAGCCTATATAAGCGGTGCAGCGACTCTGAACGTCATCACGTATGATCTTTAGCCGAGTGGCATGTGTTGTATCATCGCTGCCAGTATAGTTACAGTTAACTGTAAGCTATAGATACTAGAATATAGCAACTAATAAGAGTACTAAAGGCGGGATGGGAGTAATCTTCTATATAATCGGTCATACATACTGTGGTTGTAGAGTTCTCACATGACCTGATATGAACTCATGTGTCAAGCTTTCCATCTTACTATGATACATCCATACTTCTACTCTTCTACTCTTCTATAGGCTCGCTTGTATGCCTCTCATGCTATATACTCCGTGTACATCTTCATCTTCACCCCTATTCACCCAGCCAATCAGCGTCGTGCCTCGGAAGCAGCCGCAGCTGACTAAGCTTTAATATCTCAACCAAAAAAAAAAAAAACTCCAACTTTTTTTTTTCTCTTTTCTGGTTTCTTCTTTCCCTTCAGCTTTCTCTCTTTTTGCCCTCTCGATCTTCTTCTTCTTCTTCCTCTTCTTCTTCTTTTCTTCTTCTCTCGTAATGCTTGCTGCCTAACTCCTTTTAATCCTCTTTATCCTTTTTTTGGTCCTCATTTCTTAGACGGCTAGAGAGACTAAACAACATCTCCAACAAAAAAAATAAACCCCTATTTCAAAACATCAAAATAATCGCGGCCTCGAACCTGCCATTGAGGCTCTCTCGCGCCTCGACTTGGTCTTTTCTCCTTGCCGGCAGACTCAGACCTACTTCTGCTTTGTTTTTCGGGCGTCACTTTTGGGCGCTGCTCGTTTCCGCCGCTGCCGTCGCGCTTGGTAGACCGGGTTTCCCTAGAACGAGGCGATACAAACATAGATCTCTTTTTTAATACCTCTGTTCCTATCGATAAAGGGAAAAGGAAAGGGATACAAGCGTAATAGCAAAGATGTCCGTCAACCTGCTCTCGAACGTTCCCCTCTCCATCTCCGCGCCCTCGATAGATCAGCCGTTTGGCGTGAAGCTATGGCCCATCTTCGACTCCGTCTTCACCTCGATCATGGGCTATTCGGCAGATGATTTCCGGTTCGTCACGAATGAGACGCCCATGTCGACGCTCAAGGCTACCAGCATCGCCCTGATATCCTACTACGTCATCATCTTCGGTGGCCGTGAGCTGATGCGCAGCCGTCCGGCCATGAAGCTGAACGGTCTCTTCATGGTGCATAACTTCATATTGACGGCCGTCAGCTTCCTCCTACTCGTCCTCTACATCGAGCAGCTGTTGCCCACCTTGGTTCGGAAGGGTACTTTTCATGCCATCTGTCACTACGACGGCGGTTGGACTAAGCCGTTGGTTCTCCTCTACTACGTGAGTGCACCATCATCATCCATCCCCCTGTCGAAACTTTTTTTTTTTTTTTTTGCTATATCCGCTACTTCCGGCTGCTAACAGAGGAGTACAGCTGACCTACCTTACCAAATACCTTGAGCTGCTTGACACCGTCTTCCTGGTTCTCAAGAAGAAGCCTCTCACCTTCCTACACACCTACCACCATGGCGCCACCGCCTTGCTCTGCTACACCCAGCTCATCGGATCTACCGCCGTCTCCTGGGTGCCCATCACCCTCAACCTGGTTGTCCATGTCGTCATGTACTGGTACTACTTCCAGAGTGCCCGAGGCATCCGTATCTGGTGGAAGGAGTGGATCACTCGTCTCCAGATCGCCCAGTTCGTCATCGACCTAGGTATGTACATTATACCTTTTACCCCTCCCGGTTTTACTAGTTTGTTATGCTAACAGCCGTCAGGGTTCGTTTACTTCGCCTCCTACACCTACTTCACCTCGACCTACTTCCCATGGCTGCCCAATGCGGGCAGGTGCGCTGGTGAAGAATTCGCCGCTTTTGCAGGTCTCATCATCCTCTCTTCCTACCTCCTTCTCTTCATCTCCTTCTACCTCGCCACCTACAAGAAGGGAGCCAAGTCTGGTCGACCACGCCGTAACACCGGAACCCAAGCTGCCATCGCCATGAAGAACATGGAAGTCCCTTCGGTTGGCGGCCGCAGACCTTCTGCTTCCTCCAATGGCTTCGCCAACGGAAGTACTTCTGCCAATGGATCCGCTGCCACCACCGCCCGTGCCAACGGACCCGTAACCAGGTCAAGAAAGGCATAGGCCACATCGACTGACTGAACCGGGGTGGCTTCCTTGACGTTTCATTTGACATTGCATATGAATATTTCTGCGATGGGCGTGTATTAATATACTTGAAGATTATACGAAAAGGGATAAAGGCTTGTTGGACTAGGCTCATACCTCCTCCAGCTTGGTGGATGCTGACGGACGCGACGGTTTGGTTTGGTACGAACGCCGGAAACGATTTGAGATGGCTTTTATATAAGAGGGTGTGCTTTTTCTGCGCCCCATTCATACACACACACTTACCTACTTCTTACGAAGGACATGCATGAACAAGTCTCCTGTTGGAAAAAAAAAAAAAGGCATACATATACATAGAAAGGGAGAAGCGAGCAGAGCAAAGGAAACGAGAGAGAAGACAGCGAATGTCCGCTCCCTTTATACATCCTATTCTATCCTTTCTCCGTCCTTTTGACCTCATGCTTGCTAACCACAAATACTTACTATTACCTACTAATTACTTCTTTTCCTCCCAGTTACCTGCATTTGCATTACCCCCTTTTTTTCGCTCTCTTTCCCCTTTCTTTTATCCTACCTATTCTTCCTGTACCTTTCTTTCGATTCTTTTCTTGGGTATAATGACTGGAAATCGAAAACACTATTCATAGCTTCACCTTTTCTTCACCTTTTCTTTCCCTTGTTCGGTTTCCTTTCTATGTTTGTATTCTATGTAGCGGTGGGCGACGGTGGATTGGATGCAACTGTATTAATATTATCAGCGAGTCGAATGCCTTTTTATATCGTCTTTCTACTCCCATCCTACTATTATTCATATATAACGAGCTATAGCCATGCCCGGCATCCCTCCTAGCCCATATAACGGCCCATTATGCATATATTGCAAGCAAGCCACCTCTCCACTCCCAACGGCCTCAAAAAGAACCCTGACTCACTTCGGTAATTTAACCGGTCCATATCTATAGGAGATTTTTCTCACTTCTGCACGGATGACATACATCTGCAGACTGCAGTGCTTAAGGCGCTTAATTACCCTCAGTATAGACGGGGTAAGACTTCCATGTAAGACGACAACTACATGTCTATACGTCTGAAATTCACCAGAGTCAGGGGAGCAAGACATTTTACTTATAAACATTAGAGACCCTCGCTAGTTACATCTTTTCAAGTCAAGCCGCTTGCTGGCATGCTGAGACGCGCGACCGCCGGGCTATATAAGCCGGCGTATATAATATCAGAAGATAGACAAGCGTGCAACACAGTTACATAGTAAGCCTGCATCTCCGTTACTACATATGCCTATCTAGACACTAGTTGCTTTGTTAATTACGGCTCTAGGCTTCGTGAACAGGCGAGGTTGATCGTATATCTCTGTGCCTTCACCGAGTTTTCATCATGGCGTTGATCGGTGCATAGTTCATCACCATACATAAATAAATCGTATGCTCGATAGATAAAAGGAATATACCAAAAAAAAAAAGAAAGATGCCATAATAACGTGGCAAGACGGCGAGAAGACACCTAGTCGAGCATCAGTGAAGCCAGCGATGTCATGCAGCCATGGCCCAGACGTCTCTCATGGCGCATAACATCGTCTGACTGATAGCCTCGTACGGGTATACCGTTCACGATATGCTATCGAGCAGCTTCAACGTCTTTGCAACTCCGTATACTATGTAGTATACTGGAAACTGGTATCTCCACCAGGGCCAGCCAAGCCGGAAAAGGTCTTTCTCGAAGGAACGCTCACAAAAGGAAACAGAGCAAGAGAGAGTCTCTCTGCCCACTTGGATTCAAAACTATCAGCTTCGCATCCACCCAGCTATCCATGGCGTTTTAGCCCCCGTGCAACACGCAGGGAATCGGCTTGTCTCATCGGCACCAGGGGCACGTCAGGCCAAGGGGGCCTGCACTGCATGCGCCAGGGGGGAGACAACTGTACCTGGCCATGGTCCAGCATCTCCTGCAGGATAAGCAGGTATCCCACAAGTCATAGCAGCAATCGACAGATATACACAAAGTACCTGAATGGAATCGAATTGAATTCCAAAGGGCGGGCTTTCTAGCTTAACTATCTAACTAGCTACCCGTATTCGCCTCGCACATTTCGCCCGTTTCGCGTGAGTGGCCGCTCGCTTGCACGATAGCAAAACGCTCGATGTCGCCTTTTCCCTCTGGTTCCTTTTTCTTACGTCCCGCATGACCTGCAGAGCTCTCTTCCGAATGACCTATCTGGCATGTCACCTAGTGCTCTCGGTGGCGCTTTTCCTCAATCATCGCTGGGCTAGCTGGTCGTCCAGTCAGGGGCCTCCATCTATCAAACCTGACAAGGGCTGTGCGCTTGCATTTGCATGCATCTTCTCTCTCGTTCGTTCGCGGGATAAAATTGCGCTGAAGCTCTACCATCTCCACTCCGTTCAAATCCCCGTGGAAGAGAGCGGATGCGGTTTCTCTTGGGTGGCTCTCTCCACTTGCTCTCGAAAAGTGGCATATTACCTACATACATAGTATATATATACATATGCTGGCCCATATATACATGCGTAATGGTACCAAGGCCGCCTTTTGTCTTTTCGCTGGGACGGTTCCGCTCCTGTCCCTGTCCCTGAACCCTAACTTCTTTATCACGGCAGAAGAGAGGCGAAATATCAACTTTATAGACATATTTATATACGCAAAGAAGCATATACAACGGAGTTTACATGATCCAACAGTCGACAGCGAGTATATACTTTCCGTCCGTCGATCATTCTTGCTGAGCCAAAAAAAGGATCAGACCTAGAGTCCCCCATGTCGACCAGACCTCTTGTATAAGTCGCATGTTTCAAACCAATTTTACCCTTTTTCTTACTTCTAATCTTACTTATGAACCAGCTTGATACACTCGCGCTCTCTTGACTTCTACTTACACTCGCTTCTTCCCGATGCTGCCGCTGGAAAAGTGTGCATGAAGACGGTGGCCAGGAGCATCACCCTCCCCCCTGCATCCGCTCCTTCAACTTCATCTTTTCGTTCTTTTCCCTCCTCTATCAGAGGCCAGGCTGCCCTCTCTATCCCTCTATCCCTCTATCGCTTCTCTCACGGTCAGACGGGGCCCTGCTCGGACCAAAGGACCCTTCCGCCGACGCCTGGCGTGTTTGCCCTCTGTTCCCCAATTAGGCTCTCCAAATCTTCCTCAAGGGGTTTGGCGACGTTAATTTACTTCTTCGACAGAATAGACAGGAAACGGAGTGGGCCAATATCGTTCCTCACCTTTTCTTTTTTTTTGCCTATGATTGTTTCTTCTTCTCCCACCAGACGTTCGACTCCATAAACTAGGACAGGGAAGCGCTGGATGGCTTCGGTCCCACTGCTATCCCACACACCCCTCTTATCGCCCGACATTTTTTCAGTTTGCCATGGCCTCCGCGTCACTCCAGTCACTTATATCTAACGAGAAGCTGGGCGAGAGTATCCCGGCCGTGTCTACTTCGCTGCATATTCACCCCATGCCACAGACCAGGTATGAGTCTGACGAAGAGGAGGAATCAGAACTAGATATACCCGCTTCCCGTGATGATCGGTTCTTTTCAACCCCGGATGCAGACAGTGATATAGGGATAGGCAGCTGTGTTACGACAGATCGCGGTGTGGGAGGTTTCGAGTTAACCATGCCTCCATCCGAAGAGGAGCACAAGATGCAGCATAGACGACAGGGGAAGACCACTCCGCAGCGGTCGTCTGTCTACACCGTCAGGCGTATAAGTGGATTGACACTTCTGCCGCCGTTGCAGACATCGGCTGAACAGCTGCAGCAACATCAACGGAAAAACGAAAACGCCAGTAGATCGAGAAGTCCGTCTACAACACCACGAACTCGAGCTGAGAGACCTGCCACCATGATATTCGAACATGAGGAGATAGATTCCATCTACTCCGAGCCTGCATCGGACTACGATGATGCTAGCAACGACATCTGTAACGACAGTGACTTGGGTGACGAGACAGACATTGACATCCATGATGGAGGAGCCATTGATGAATCGTTCTTCGTCGCTACTCCGGTTACATATCACCTTCCCAAGGGCAGACCTAGCTTAGTCTCCATCTCTCCGCCACCATCACAGTCCGGCCGTACGCCTAGAATTCCATCACAGGCTGAAGATCTGAGTCCTAGAGCACAGAAGAAGCAGAAAAAGCAGAAAAAGCAGAGCACCTCAGCCTCCCTGGAACGGACGGATTCAGTCATCAGCAGAAGTTCTAGCACCGCCGGCAGTATCAAGAGGACTATTCAGCACCTGAAGCCCAAGAAGAATGAACCACACCGATCAACATACGTCCCTTCGGAGCGGTCCCCTGTATCCCCGTCTGCGGCTATTAATGCCACTTCTCCCATGCTAGGAAGCACACCTCCTGACTCTGCCAAGTTCTTCACCGAAACCACGAAACACAAGCTAGCTCCCCCCGATAGTCGACGACGGTCACTAGTACCCGGCCAGCTACGAAGCGGAAGACGGGATCGAAACGTATCAGAGCAGACACCTCCACCAACGGACTCTGAAGCACAGAAGAATGCACATAACAAGCCCTCACAAATACAGAACCAGGGCCATCGAAGACGAGCAACAGAAAAACTACCATCCTTTAATAAAGTGGCATGGACACCGGCATCACCTCCAGCCTCTCCGTCTGAAGATAATTCCACGTCACTTGGTTGTCCCCTTCCAGCACCGCAAAAACTGCCTGTCTCAGTCCCCGAACCGCTTCCGTCCCCAGGCATACGCAAAACCAAAACCTTCCAGACACCGTCCCTTAATAATTCCCTAGATCAATTACCCGTTCCTCGCAGCCGTGCCCGCACCCGCTCCATAAGCAGCATAGCCAGCACCGCAAGCAAATTCAGCATTCCAGCCTTCGACAGCGCCTCCCTAAAGGCAATTGCGCAAAAGTACCAAAACAGAACAACCTCTCCCTTGCCCGGAGCCGCCTCTCCAACCACGTCAACCTCTTCGAACCTTCGACCAGCCGGGTCTGACAGCCCTCGCCGCCCATCAGACTGCGGCAGCACCATGTCCGAACAGCCCAGCCTACTCCGTCATAATAAATTCCTTCGGACAATGTCAACAACCAACCTCAGCATGCTTATGAGCGCACATGACACCATTGACGAAGATAGCATGGGCACTCCTTACCAGAGCAAAAGCAGTCTGGGGCGGAAATCAAAACGCTACTCATCTACTTCGAAATCCAGCGTTAGCACGGGCAGGTCCGGCAGCACTAGCAGCAACGCGCATATCCGGTCGAAGAGCATCAAATGGTTTCAGGGCACGAGCGAGAGCATGACGCTTGCTGGAAGCAAGCTTGGATCCATGCTGAAGAAGAAATCCGTCGCAATGCCGAGCTCTTAATACAAATCACTACATACATTAACTTATAATGGCCGTGTCGTGCCGCGCCTTGATTATATTATATACCCTTGTCTAATTTTCTTTTGCATCTCATCTCTTCTTACCAGAAAAATAAAAAGGATAGGATCTCCGGTTGTGGGTGGATATTTGTCTATCTCTTTTCATCTTGTCTCTTTCTACATCGCTCCCTATACTCTCACCATAATGATCATTACTTAATGTCTTTTCCCTTCGTCTTAACACTCTCCATTTCCTATCTTTCATTACCTATTGCTTTTTTCCCTTCACTCTTTCATATGTTTGGGTCTCGGATATACTGGCCTCGCTGGTCTTCGTGCGCTACATCCCTTTCTTATCTTTTGTCTTTATACCTGCTTTTACCTTGCATATATATATATATATATATATACACTTATTTAACACCGGCATAGACCGGTATAACTATAAAGAATAGTTCTAATAAGACCTTGACTCTTGGTCAATTCAACTACTACATAGTACTCTTCCTCCGGTCGACTACTCCGCCCATCCATCAATCCCTGTAACGCCTCAGCCGAGATGGCTTCCACGACATCCCCATGGCGCCAGCCATTGGGCAAAAGAAAAGAAAAAGCTTCAAAATAAAAATTGACCTTGATATTATACATAGCAGTAGCAGCACGACGTAGTATGTGAGTTGCCAGAACTATACGGACACATCCGGGGATCCGCCAGTCAAAGTTTTCATCTTATATCATCACCTTCGATATAAAAAAAAGTGTGAGAAAGCAACTCAACTCGGCTCTTCCCTGCAAGCTTTTTCATCTTTATTTGCTTTTTCTTTTGACAGGCAGGGAAGATATTCTAACTATTACTGCTAGTTAACTAATTTTGCTTTGACATATTCTCGGTGCGCAAACGCACGTTGACCGTTTCTATCTATAAACCACGTCTTATTTTCCGTTTTTCTAACGTATAGCCTTGTTCATGTGCGCATATATACATACGTGCCCGTTTCTATACATAGTTTATATACATTACTTTCACCGATTGGATCCCTCCGGTGGGTTTGAAGCGAGTGGATAGGCCGTCATGTTGGCCCCCGGCGCAGAGACAAGCCAAACTGAAGTCGAGAGAGGCAGTCAGGAAAACAAGGACTCCCTTTCAGATGTTGCATTGCTGGTATGTTCATATCCTTTCTTGTCCCTTTGGGTCCCCATGTTACTTCTTTCCGTACTTCCGCGACGGAGTGGAGTTACCGTTTCATCACAGGCTAACCACCCACGGACAGGAAACACTTGGATACAAACCGGTATGATTCAATATCCAACGGAGGGAATATACCCTTTTAGTTCTTTCAAGCGTGAGCACCCCGGAAGATCCTGGAGAATTGACCACACTGTCAACCTAGGTTCTTCATCGGACCTACACGTTCTTGGAAAGTTTTGCAACAACGTTCGGTAAGAGGGAACTTCTGCTTCTCCTTCTTGAAACGTATGCTGACGACGTGTCACAGCCGCTCTGTACTTCGTTGGCGGAGTAAGAGTGACGTTCAGCACCGGTATAGCAGCTGGTGGCAACTTGGCATATTGGTAAGTCGATAATACACAGCCTCATGGCGGAGATATTCTGAAACTTGACATGTTGACCCAGCTTACCAGGACAAACTACCTGATCACCGCTGTCTTCACCGGAATTACTGCTTCTGTGATTGCGGAGATCTGCTCTGCCTTGCCCTCAGCTGGCTCCATTTACCTCTGGGCTGCAGAGGCTGGTGGTCCCAAGTATGGACGCCTGCTGGGGTTTGTCGTTGCTTGGTGGAGTACCACGGCATGGACGACATTCTGCGCAAGTACGTAGCATATCTCATATCTGAAAGCCAGGCTGGTAAACTAATTTCTATAGGTAACACTCAATCTGCCGTAAACTACATTCTATCAGTATGCCAGTTGATATCCAGATCCTTAAAGCTATAGCTTACATTCATTTGTAGGAATTGACCGTGTTCAACGTTGATTTCCCCAAAAATGTAGACGATGTCAAGTTCAGGGCCGTCCAATGGATATGCACTGAGGTCCTGCTTGCTATAGCAGCCATAGTCAATTTCCTCCCACGTACGGCTGCCCCTGATAGAGAGTCATCAATTAAAACTAACTCACCCATCAGCGAGAATGTTCAGATTCGTCTTCTATCTCTCATCAACTTTTGTTCTTCTGGACTTTCTCATGAACGTTATCTGGCTGCCTATTGGTGCCCATAATACATGGGGCTTCCGCACCCCGCATGAGGCATTCTTGGTTACCTATAACGGCACCGGTGCTCCCGCTGGATGGAATTGGTGCCTTTCTTATCTTGCTACTGCCGGCATTCTGATTGGATTTGATGCCTCTGGCCATATTGCTGAGGAGACCAAGAATGCATCTTTGACTGCGGCCAGAGGTATTTTCTGGAGTACCGTGGTCAGTGGAATTGGAGCTGCCATAACCATTGTACTATTCTTGTTCTGTGCGGTAAGTACATAATCTCTATCAATATATATTTGGAATTGCTTGTTAATAAAATCCCGTTTGATAGCCCGATCCTGAAACATTATTCTCGTTTGGATCACCCCAGCCTTTCGTACCTCTCTATGCCGTCGTGCTAGGGAAGCGTGCCCATGTCATCATGAATGTGGTGTGCGTTATCACCTACTGGTTTGTATGTATTCCACTTCACCAATCCCTAAGAGAGTTATGTAGCCTAACATGGTATAGAACACCACCATCGCCATAGTAGCTGCATCGAGACTTGTATTCGCCGTTGCGCGTGATGGTGTCCTTCCATTCTCCAGCTGGGTCTCCCGCGTCTCTCCATCTGGCCAGCCTTACAACGCTATCAAAGTAGTCTGGGGCGTTGCAGCACTGGTAACTTGTACAATTCTCCCATCGAATGTGGCATTTACATCGCTAGTCTCCGCAGCCGGCGTCCCGTCAGCAGCTGCATATGGCCTAATCTGTTTCGGACGAGTATTCCTCACTCCAAAGAAATTTCCCAAGCCAAGATGGAGCCTGGGAGCCCTCAGCAAGCCGTTTCAGATCATTGGTATTTTTTGGAATGGATGGGTAGTTGCCATTTTGTTCTCACCTTACGTTTTCCCTGTCACAGGACAGACATTAAATTGTAAGTCTGCTCTCCTACCATTTCAAGCTAGAGGACTGTGTCTGATACTCAATCCCCCTATAGATGCTCCTATAATCCTGGCCGGTGTGACTATCATTGCGCTGGTGTCCTACTGGATCATTCCGGAAGAATCCTGGTTCCCAAGTGCACGTATCTCCAAGTTCGTGGAAGGGGAGCCCCAGGACCTAGTGAGTCCAGAGGTAAAACAGTGAACTGCGTTTCAAAATAAATAGACGACCCATTTACTGGTAAGAAAATCGGAAAATAAAGGATCAATGGACAAAAGAGGAAGATAAAACGTAATTATGGGGGAATATCACAATATATTTATATGTGTAATCTAAATACATAGTTGACAGCCAAAGCTGATGCTGCAAGCTCCTAGGTTGTGGAGGATATGTACTCTATATGGGACAGGAGAAGGTATTTGAAATCATGGCTTTGTTTCGGAATTGCTCTCAAAGTTCTGGCCTGCAAAGCTCATACTCGCCTCTTCCAAAAACTTAGGGCTATAATTAGTAGTCAATGCAACCTTGATGCGCCGCAAAATGTTTTGGAGCTATGGCATGCAAAGCTCTCGTGTAAGCAGTATAGACATATAATAACATGTCAAAAGTAACAATTTGAAGGAGCATCACCAAAATCTCATTTCTATAGATATCAGTTACTAATAGCTCGAAACCCTAAAAAATGGAATAGGATCCAGGAGAGACTGAACAGATCACTTCGGAATGAAGTTATGTTGCCATTCTTCCGGGCATGATTGATATGAAACAGCTCGGCGTAATAAAGCCCGAAGTAACAGCATTTTTGCTCAACCAGAGTAGTGGCCTCTAACAAGCTTTATGACAGTCACATAGATTTGTCAGTAGATCAGGAAAGGGCTTGGCCTTGAATTCTCAGGAATATATAATCACTAATCTCCTAAAGATGTTAAGATGTGGAACAAAAAGATGAGATAGGAATATATGGGGCAATTGGATGGCAGATACATGCATACGTGCTCATCGACCACTCAAGTGAAATGAAACTAACCATAAAAGTGAGTAGAGATGCACCGCGGACGCCGGTATCTCTCGGGCCCTGAGAGAGGGCCCTTGCAGCGGGCAGCCTCCTTGGCTAAAACACATGACGGGGACAAGCACGTCTGCGACCTGCTTATCTATAGGACGGCATGGTAAACTTGTTCACTTGGAGGAGAATGTTCCATTATGAAGCATGCTGTCAATGCATCATTTGGCCTTAGCCATTTGCAGAGATATGGAATGGTCTGAATGGAGTATTTTTATCCCGCCTTGGGCGATTGATGCTGCGCCCCAGGTAAGGGTTAGTCTCAGACTTAAGTAGGTTCGGAACCGATCTCGTATTCCTGTTTATGGTATATGAGACTATGATAAAGTTGTAAGGGATAATGTCAAGCACATTCAGTATCAGCATTTGGTCCGAATATAGAGCCAGTCCGAGAGCTAGTCTGTCAGCCGGCACCGACGGTTATCACTAGGCTGTATCAGAGGAAGACTAATTGCAATTATCATCTCTGTCCGGTCACCCTGCGGTACTTACCAGCACTGAAAATTAGATATTACCACCGCGCCTGCAAAGAGAGTATGCAGGAGTGTAGGGGTCGGCGAATCGAACATGTAAGTGTCTTTTCCCAGGCTTTTCTCACCTAGGAATTGGAAGTATCCGACTAGTTGCTTTCAGAAATTTCAAAGAGCCAGGAGCGGCTGTATTATGGTGTAATGTGGAGTGCAACTACCATATCCATGGGATACAAGAGAGTACCTCAATTCTGTGCTAGCTCACCTGTGCCCCTAAAAAACGCCCGGTCAAATAATACCCCTCCGACTGCAGAACGGTGTACAATATGACGAAAATGAGGAGACGGAGAGTCCGTAGCGAATTTCAAGCCTCAAAAAGAAACCTAGATGGTTTCAGCAGTTGAGCAAAAATTCCAGCTTGAGCAAGGTTGCCCCTAGATGGAGCTTGCCAGCAGGTAAAGGGCAGAGATCTCGATCTCGATCTCCCAGCCTGCTTTAGAAACGGATGTACAAGTGTGGATGTAATTGGGGTCATTGATTATGGTGGACGATGGCTGTGAGTAAAAGGCTAGGCTGAGAAGATGTTGGTTTAGATGTTGACGTTTATAAATAGTTTGGTTCCTGGCGCCACAGCCGACACCCGCGGCCCGCGGCTAACGGTTCCCCGCAATTGATAACGATAACTACCAACGCCATATTAGAAGGTATATTGTCACCAGCAGTTCACTTCACCCGGAATATCCATAAATAAAAACACCTCCCAGCCAAACGAAACATGTCTCAAGGCACTCGACTAGCCGAGAAAGTAGCCATAGTCACCGGTAAGCTGCTCCAAAGCACTGGCTAATCACACGGTAAAATAGGCTAACAGTATACAAACCAGGAGGCGGATCTGGCTTTGGTGCCGCAATCGCCATCCGGTATGCCCAAGAAGGCGCAAAGGTCATAATAGGCGACATAAACGTCGAGGGAGGCGAGAAGGTAGCCTCCAACAACCCTTCCCGCATCTCCTTTCAGAAGATGGACGTCACCAGCTCCGACGACTGGAAGGCCGTTCTAGATTTCACCGTCTCGAAGCACGGGAAGATAGATATCTTGGTGAATAATGCTGGAACTACATATAAGAACAAAGTAAATACCTTTAAGAACCCTAGCTATAATGCTGTTTTTCATCGAGCTAACGGCCATCCAGCCATCCGCCGAAGTAACGCTCGACGAATTCGATCGCGTCTTCAACGTTAATGTCAAGAGCATCTTTCTGGCCTCTCAGCTGTTCATTCCGATTCTCATCAAGCAGGGCCATGGCGGGTCGATGATAAATATCTCCTCGACGGGGGCTCAGCGCCCTCGGCCCGGGCTGGTGTGGTACAATGCTTCGAAGGGGGCGGTGTCAAATGCCACCAAGGGCCTGGCGGCGGAATATGGCAAGTATCAGGTTCGAGTGAATAATGTGTGTCCGCTACTTTCGGGGACGGGCCTATTTGAGATGTTCACGGGTATACCCGATACTCCCGAGAATCGGCAGAAGTTTATTGATAATGTGCCGTTAGGGAGGTTGGCGGAGGCAGAAGATATTGCGAATATGTGTTTATTCCTTGGCTCGGATGAGGCGAGGTTTATTAACGGTGGAGATTTTGTAGTGGATGGAGGGAAGTGTATTTGATGAGGGGAAGTGAATGGGCAAGTTGATGTATTTTTCTTTGTTATGGCTTTTGAGTAATAAAAACGAAGATGGGGACAGATAAAGAATGGAAATTTCTGTATCCATATCCATATTCATTCGTAACACGTACAAAGAGTCGAATTTAAACACTAACTGCGCCCTTTGTTTTCCATCCGGCTACAAGCATATAACACCATATAAACTGACAAAGAACATATACATAAAAAGGGGGGTTGAAGAAGTATGTACTAGAAGTAAATCAAAGTGGTCTGATTGGGCAGACAATAGGCTGTTCATCGAGGCCCTATTGGTTGAAAGTGACTCCCTCAATCTCAGTAAGAAGGTAAAAGGGTAAAAACATGGAGATAAACCTCCGTTAATCAAATAAACATTGTGTTAATAGTGCAAATACACACTATAGATAGAATGGATGTCTCTTGAATACAGCTTTCTTTCTGAAAGAAGATGTACGCAAAGTACCCTAGAAACTTAAAACTTCCCACGACGACGGTGACCGTGGCCGTGCCCACCATGGTGGCGGAGAAGATTGAAGTCCCTCTTAGCTCCCTGGTGGGTGGGCTCGGATGCAGCAACGGTGGCTTCGACAGTTCTGGTGACGGTCACGCGGACAAGGGCAACTTCATACACGGTGCCATCTTGGACGTAAGTGCTGGTGGAGTAAGCGTCATTGCCAGCAGGTGGGGCAGGGTCAGACGGCTTGGGGGTGGTCTCGGGTGCTTGCGGGACAGAGGGAACTGGAACAGCGGGAGCAGAAGCAACTGGGACAGAAGCAGCTGGAGGAGCAGAAGCAGCTGGAGGAGCAGAAGCAGCTGGAGGAGCAGAAGCAGCTGGAGGAGCAGAAGCAGCTGGAGGGGTAGAAGGAGCTGGATGAGTGGGAGTTGGGATCTGAATCTTCGGTCCGCCAACTACCGGCGAAGAGACGGATGGGATGTTGACTACTGGGGAATGGTGGCCGGAGTCACCAACGTACGCGGGTCCCTCAGAGACCTTGGTGCCACCGGGCAGGCCCTTGGGGCAGAGGGTGTACTCCTCAGCCTTAATGGAGGGAGGAACCTTCATCTTGCACTCATTCTGCTTGATTTGGTCCTGGATGTTGAACACGGGGCAGTCTTCAAGAAGACCAGAGTCGTTGGTGCAGGTGTTGACGGCCTCCTGGAGAACACCGTCGTCCCATCCGTCGATGAAATCAGCATGGTAACCAGCACCAGTTGGATCTCCGTTGGAAATGACGAACTTGCCGTCCATACCGGCGAAGGGCTTGGTGACCCAGATGGTCTCGTAGAACAGAGTAGGGAGACGGGTGCCGAAGCCCTCGGGACAATCACCGCCGTTGATCTCGCTGGGGTAGGCGACGTGGGACTTGTGGTCCTTGGAGTCGAGGTTCTTTCCGTCCCAGCAAGAAGGGAACATGATCTCCAGGCGGAGACCGTTTGCACAGGTGCTGTCGATAAAGGAGCGCTCGGGGAAGGTGTGTCTGTACATGGAGGCCTCCGGAGGGGCAGCATAGTTCAGACAGTTGAAGCCGATCGACTTTTGGCCCAGAGCAGACTGGGTCTTCTCCTTATCGGTCCAGCTGCTCTTTGGAGGATCTGGCTGTTCGAAGGGAAAGTCACGGAGGCCAGTATCTCCGGCAATCATGCGGAAGTTCCGTGGGAACGCCTTGATGTCCTTTCCATACAGGAGATAGTAGCTAGACGCAGGTTAGACCAGGTCTTCAGGCCAACGACGAGAGTATAGTACGTACACAAGAGTGCCACCAAGCTGCTCGGCGAGCTCAGCAGTCCCGTTGGCATGGAGGAAGTAGAGGGTAGGAACCCAGTAAACAGACTTGTCCTGGGTGACGGCGCAGGAAGTGCAGTTAGACTCGGCCAACTGGTCACCAGTAATAGTAAAGTCAAAGTCTATACAAGTTAGAACCCCCTTTCTCGCGCTCTCCCTACTCCTTGGCTGGGGAGGGACGTACTCTTGCCGCCGTGGATGGCATGGGCGTGAGGAGAGAGCTCTCCCGGATTGACGATAGGGTCCATCCTGGCCAGACCAAGACGGCCCTGGCAAGGCATGCGCCAGAAAGCGGAGGCCGGCGCAGCCATGGAGAGCAGAGAAGCCGCCAAAGCGGTCAACTGAACGGTATGCATCGTGCTGGATGCCCTGAATCTAGTTCAAAGGGGAAAAATTCGCGATCCCGACCCAGTCGAGAGTATCTAGATAGTTTCTATGTCAACAAAAGCGAGTGCGAGACTGTTGCTGCGAGTCGTATACGGCCACTCTCGGCTCGAGAGTATGGTATCTTCTTGGTATCGAAGCAAAAGACGACCGGCGAGGTGGTTCTGATAGTCAATATCAGAGTCAACAGCCAAAGTAGCAGACTTTAAAGGAACGACAAGGCTGCGTGCGAAGGAGTGAAGCGTCCTGGCAGACAACAAAGCAGCACAGCCTGGTAAAATAAGAGACAGACGAAGAGAAAGAGAGGAAGGGGGGAGAAAAAGGAGTCTTGACGGCCCTTCGGGGTGGGCTGGCGATGGGGGTCGTTGGATTATAACATGAAGTAAGTAAGAAGAAGAAAAACGCCCTTGCCCGCGCTAGACCCGATCCGGGCAACACTGAAACAGCCAAAGCCGCCGATCTGACACAGTTCAATTAAAAACCCGCGACATTCTATATCAGACATCACCATATATCAAGCATCCAACACACGTATATATATATATATATATATATATATACAGAGTACACCTGGTACAAAGTAGATGCCGGTCGGTGATGAGGTTATAATGATAAAAAGACAGCTGGCTACATGTTGAGTGATGTGTCCTGACAGCACAGCGAAGGCTGCTGCGGTGGCTCCGCCTGTGTCAGATTCCGTTTACTCCAGAGTTTTGTTCCTGCGTTGGCGCCCTTCGTCCAATAGCGGCTCTCGATCGACTTCCTCAACGCCGATTGGTGAATGTCTTGCCCCTGGTGCGGGAGGCCATCATTTGCCTGGGACCAGGGGAGAAAGTCGTGGACTACAGGTGAGTCCTGTCTGGTCGGCGCATAGACATGCTAACTAATGTAAAGATAGTTATATTATCCGAATACTTTATGCATAACATCGTCCAGGTTTACTCTGTATACATGCACACTGTGTCAAGAGTCTTTTTTCTCTTGCGGGACGGATCGGCCAGCGAAATGGTGGGAAGTTCCCATTTTTTTTCTTACGGCCTTGGTGGCTCCATCGGAACCAGAGATCTTTTCCAAAATAATTACGTCAGTTTATACGATTTCTTCCTTCGATAAACATGGACACCTTGCCTCCGGGTAGTACATCATCCGCTGGAGGGAGCAGCTGGTCCCTGCCAAGGTGCTTGCCGCCCTTCCACACCCCTCTTTGTCAGGGGTATTTATTTTTGACCTTTATTCATGCTTTCTCGCTAAAATCAACCCTGGCTCTTCGGTCTGCTTATGCCCTGTGTTAACCGCCTGGGATCACGCTGAGACGTGGGGGCCGGGCGTTATGATAGTTGAATGGCTAATATATACTACATACTATGTATGGTCATGTTCTAGCTCGCCGTTTTGTCATCACATAGCTGACTCCTGGGGCAAGTGAATCAGAGTGAAGTAGAATAAGGAGGCGGTCGATGACGAAGCGGACTCCCTCGTTTATTTCTTCTTAGTAGACTATTACTTAAAAATCCCCAATCTTAACTAAGTTATATCTTTAACTAACCAATATAAAGGTAACTTATACTCCTTCTTTTATTTAATTCAATATACTAATATAGCTCCCTTCTAGCTTACTACTATCTTATCGTTGCCTTCGTACCCGCCTGCCTCGCAGCCGCCACCGGTGCTGAGAGCCCTGTAAGCAAGGTTGTTTCTAGATGTTATAGAACCTTACTAATACTGTTGATAGCTGAGAAGAGAGCCTGCCGCCTAAGCAACTGTCTCTGCAACGGCATCCAGGGACAATTCTGTGGCAACCAGAAAGTCAATGCTGCCTGCACCAACGGCCACGTCTTCGAGTGTGCTAAGGGTACTGGAAAGGCCTGTGGCTATGGGGTTAGAGACTCCTACCGCAAGTGCGGAAAGCTAAAGTGCTAGATGCTAGATGTTACATCATTTAACAGGCAATTATCTCATCAATAATATCTAGGGCACTGTTTATACCCCTTATTGCTTTAACGAACAAATTAAAAGCGATGCCATGTGATGTAGTTAAAGGACATCGTTCCTCAGGTTCTGTCTGATATCTTCAACTTCCTCTATGCTGAACCCAAGTTCGTTCACCACATACCCTTCGGCTCCTCCCTTGAAACTCTTCTCCAACTTTTCTAGGAAACTAACCATAGCATTCGCCCTGGAACCATACCATCATTAATAAGATATCTTTTTGAAATGTGGAGAGAGAAAGGGGCTCAAAGGGGTGTATGGCATACTCGCACCCAGCAACTATCTTCATAACCTCACTATCCCAATCCACTTCCCCCTCTCCAGTCATTTTAGCCAGTAAAATATCTCGTACAGGCTCAACACCAATTCTCGTCAATACATAGTCGTGCGTTATCGCTTCCTGCGGGACACCAGCGAGAGAGAGCAGGAGGCTGATGGCGACTGCTGTACGGTCCTTGCCGGCTGCGGTACTTATATATCAGCATCGTTTATGAGGGTGTGGACGTGGGTCAAGCTTTAGAATTAGACCAGATAGGAGCGTACCTGTACAGTGGACCAAGAAAGGCTGATTTGGATTCCGAAGAACATGCAAGAATATTTCCCGAAAAATTGCTCGGTGTGTTGTGAGGAAGGAGAAGTACATTTTTACTAGCTATAGGGTATTAGGTATAATGATGTTTAGTCAAATTTGTTTCTTCTTGTCTGATTATTTCAGATATGTAAGACGTAAAACATCAAACTTACCGTCCTCCACTCCACCTCTCCGTCTCCCCCATTCTCTGCCCAAATACTCTCTGCTCCATCAAGTTCCGGCTCAGGGTCCGCCTCTCTCTCCCCCTTAGACCTGAGATCAAAAATCGCCTTGACACCCAAGAAATTCACAATTTCTTTATTCTCGTTTTCAGGAAGCAGGCTCAGCATTCCAGAGCGGTAGATAAACCTTTCTTTCACAAACGGTGGGTAGGAGACTCCGCGAAAGTTGAATGTTCCAGGGATCTGGTGCCATGGGGCTGAAGAGAGGTAGGATCTTATGGAGGAGAGGGGAAGGGGCTGGAACATAGGGGCTGAGAGAAGGGCAGCGAGGTCGGCTGAGGGCATGGTGGATATTTGTTGTTGTGCTGAGTTATGTTTCATACGGACTTATGGTGTGTTCCCTCTAGGCAACGTAGAGATTCGGTGCCCAAGTGCTGAGCATTTTATTTTGAGTCTTATGAGACCAGCCATGGAATTGCTAGGCATACAAGCATGGTTAGACATGCATTGTCAGGCTCGTGCATTACCTTTCTAGATAGTCCCCTTCTCTTGGAGCTTATTATTCCCAATGCTAATCCTAGCAACCAATATTGTAGACCAGTAATTAGTTACAGGCAAGCATAGGAGAAGAGACATATCACTGCAATTCTCAATCCAAAGCCTTATCCAACGCCTGGCCTTTGCACATCTCGTAATAATTACCCCTTTTCTTAGGCAACTCGACATGAGTGCCGGACTCGACGATTCTCCCTGATTGGAAGACGAAGATGGAATCCGCATCTTTGATAGTACTCAGTCTATGTGCAACAACGATTGTGCTCCTCTTACCACCTTTGGTAGCCTCGTTTATAGCAGTCTGAACCATCTTTTCACTCTCCATGTCCAGCGCACTTGTTGCTTCATCAAGGAGCAGGACCTTCGGATCTCGAATCAGAGCACGAGCAATGGCGACACGCTGGCGCTGGCCACCAGAAAGCTTAGAACCACGAGTGCCAACTTCGCTCCCTAGGCCGTCAGGTAGTGATAAGACGAATTCGTAAATGTTTGCGTCTTTGCAGGCTTGTTCTATTTGTGATTCTGTTGCTTCTTTCGATTCAACCAGGCCCATGGCGACATTCTCACGGATGCTGCCCTGATATAAGATGGGCTCTTGCTGTACAAGTGCTAAGCGCTGGCGATGGTCTTGTGGCTTGATCTCGTGGATTGCTTGGTTATTAACAGTGATGAGGCCAGAGGTTGGATCATAGAAACGGCAGAGGAGGTTGATCATCGTTGACTTTCCGCAGCCTGATGAGCCGACGAAGGCGACAAATTTTCCTGGTGGGATTTTGATGTTGATGCCAGAAATGATGTTTGAGCGTGGGCGAGAAGGGTAGGCAAAGTCAAGTGCTCGACAATCAACAGCAAGGGTTCTATGGTCTTCCGAGGCTCATCTGAAAAGTCATTGTTGATAGCAGGGTACTTCTTTGGCGCAGCCAGAAGATGTAGTTTGTAGAGCTTGTCGCTTTGGTGATGCCGGTCGTGTATTGAAAAAGAGCAGCTGCATTCTCACCTCCAACCACAACGGCGGTAAAGACTACAAAGAACTGCTCATTGGTGTACTCGTAGGCAGACACAAGCTTTCCGCCATACCAAAAGCCCAGGGCCATTGCTAAGAAGGTGATAGATTGCGTCAAGGCGTACCAGAACATTGTATAAGTTAGGGCTTTTACAGATTGCTCTGCAACAATATCTAGCCTTTCCCGGTATATCTGAATCATTTTATTCTCTAGCGTAAGAGATGACACCGTGCGGATAGCCGAGACCGCTTCAGCTGCAATAGCAGCACTGCTTGCGAATCGTGTAGAGGTATCTTCCTCCAGCTTACACTCAAGGAAGATACGGAGGTAGCCGCTAAGCAACAGCAGAGGGAGAGCAGCAAAGACGCACACAAGGCCGAGCTTCCAGCCATAGGCAATACCTAAGACAGAGACAGAGATGATTGTGACAATGTTGATCAGAATCAACCCTGAGTTGACACCCAAGAGCTCGTTCAGGTTTGAGGCGTGAATTAACAGACGAGCGCATATCGCGCCAGTAGCATTGTGTTCCAAATCGAAGAAAGCAATATCTTGCTTCATAGTGTTCCTAAAGAGCTCCCGCCTATACCTCCGACTTACTTCCTATAGGATAATGATTGTCAGAATTGAACAAAATACAAGAGGAAGGGGATATATATTCACCTGGATGATAATGTTGGCTGTCCATCCCACAACAAAGTAGACGAAAAAGTTAGCAAGAGCAATAACGAAGAACATCAGCGCCCAAAAGTCACCACGACGAACGGCCTCGCTGCCACGGAGCTGAAAGACTTCAAGTGTCCGCGCGAGAATGATAGCTTGTGCTGGAAAGGTAGCACCTCCGAGAATACATGTGATGGCAAAAATCGAGTAAGACCCCCACAGATTCCGCTGCTCCTTTATCAAAAGCCATAGACACTGAATTAGGCTGTATCCCATAGTCTCCTTTGCAAGTGCTTTGGATTTTTCATCCACAGGGGAGACTCGGCGGCCACACTCCTTGTGAGATCCAGTGAGAGCTTCGTGGTAGACTTCTCAGCATCCTTCCCTTTACTGGCTTCCTTCTCTTCAACTCCCCTCTCGTCAAAGTCATCATGCCCTTCCCAGTCATCTTGATCTACCAAGTCGACGGGCTCTTCAGTCTTACGGCTCTTTTCCTCCAGATCCTGAGTACGGACAAGTCTTGCATAGGCACCACCGCTAGCTAGGAGTTCATGATTCGTACCCTGCTCGATGATTCTACCAGCGGACATGACGGCGATATTATCCGCCTTCTGTACAGTAGACAATTTGTGCGCAATGATGATAGTAGTCCGGCCGACAGAGATATTCTCTAGTGCGCTTTGAACAATCTTCTCAGCCTTTGGATCAAGGGCACTCGTCGCTTCATCTAGTAGTAGGACAGATGGCCGGGATATGATGCTGCGTGCGATAGCAATACGTTGCTTTTGTCCTCCTGATAGCATGCGTGCGCGCTCGCCAACCTGGGTATCATACTTCTTGGGCAAGATCTCAATGAAGTCATGTGCATAAACCTCTTTACAAGCCTCTTTCACCAAAGCAAGCTTCTGCTCATACGAGGCCTCCGCTTGCCGTGTCCCTACCAAGCCGAAAGCGACGTTGTCGAAGATTGTCCCGCTAAAGAGAACAGGTTCCTGTTGCACAAGGCGCACCTGTGTGCGTAGCCAGGCAATATTGAGTTCCTGGATGTTGATACTATCAAGTAGGATCGTACCGGCTGCTTGATCATACCAGCGCTCTAAAAGTCCAACTATTGTGCTCTTCCCTGAACCGCTAGCACCAACCAAGGCTGTAGTCTTACCGGCAGGTATATTCAAGTCCAGGCCATTGAGAACTTGGGTATCTGGACGAGATGGGTAGGCGAACTCGAGGGCGTTTAGCTTGACCTCACCCACACATGTCTCAGGCGTCAATCCAGCAGTTGAGAGGGAATCAATAGCCGACTTCTTATCAATAATGCGGAAGAGCTCGTCAGCAGCAGCCGCGGCTTTGGTGATTGTTATGATTTGGGGAGCAATGTGGGTTAGCGATGTAGCGGCAACGACTACCGCGAAGATGACACTGTGAGGAGAATCAGCCATAATGAACCCAGCAGTCCCTCAGTTAAAAGAGGGCATTGCATACGTTACGATGTCACCCGGCTCATTAACCTCACCACGGGCAAACATCCACACTAGAGCGCGAAAGGATAGTCATCAGCTTGTTCTCGATCTTTACCTCGATACCCATACAAACACCGGTAATAATAACAATTGCCGGGACGATGCAGATGGTAATAAGAGTTAGCTTCTCTGAAATGCCGTTTGTGATAATATTGCCGTTCGTAGTGACCTTGACAGACGGCAAGCCATCCTTTTTTGAATCGAAATAACTCGTGTCCTGGCGTAGGAGACTCTGCAGAAAGTCCAGCCGCAATGCTTTTGTAGCCCGAATAGCTGCTGTCGATGCAGCAACAGTGTGGACATAGACGAGAAAGAATTTGGCGATAAACAGATAAACCAAATAAATGCTGTTTCCCATGTTAGGTCACAATTTTTAACATTCTTGCAGGCGGTCTTACGAGTATTTCGCACCCTCCCTTCTATAATCATCAGGACCGACGGTGCCAATGGCAAAGTTGTTAAAAGGTCGTTACGAACTTGCCGAAGATCAGATCCATCAGCGGAAGTGCCGCACCGGCTATGATAGCAGCGGTAAAGGAAACAGAGTAGAGGATCCAGGTATTTCGGTCAGCATAATTGAATATGCGTTTGTAGCTCTTGAACCCAGACGGCTTTGCCTTTTGATCCAGCTCGAGGTCCGACATGGTGGGTAACTGAACGATAGGAAGTCTAGACGGGGGTATTTCCAGTAGAAGTGCCGGAATCAGCGCTAGCAGGTGGTTTATTGACGTTCATCAGGGAGACTGGAGGTGAGTAACGGATGCTAGGGCATCGCCTAGCGGTTATACCGCCCGGGGATTCTAGTCAGTTGCTCCAAATACTAAGTGTGATAGAAACCCTTTTATCCAACAGAAGTACTATCCGTATATGGCATCATAGCTGTGTTGGCTAGGCATGTCAGCCATAAGTTAGTTACCGGAAATAAACCTGGGCTCCGCGTCAGCCACCGCATATTAAAACACAAGGATCGTGCATGTTACCAAGATAAAGGCGGTTTGATGCTTTCATCCGATCCCGATTCCAATCCCTTGTTACTCCGTGTTCGTACCCTAAGCCAACCCAGATATCTGGTTATTTGTTGGAACTAGTTGGGGTAGTTGACCAAAGGGGTAAAAAGGCCGGATGCCCAATATCTCTTTTACAGAGAGTTGAAATGGTAAAGAAGAATAGTTCCCAGTTAACTAACTAGCGTTCAAGTCCTCCTTATCCCAGTCCATGTCAATTTCAACCTCAGCCGCATCAACGGAACCTATATTCCCCCTTGCCGCAAGCTCCTTATCAATCGCCTCAAAGAGCCGATCTAGATATATCTTCTCACCAGGGATAATCAGTCCAGCACCGAGACCACTGAAAATAGACTCATCAAAACAAGCCCTCCCCATCTTAATCAGGGGTTCGTTTCCAGAGTGGTACAAGTCTTTGAACCGCTGTCTCCAGAATAGCCACCGCGCGAGGCTGAAGCCAGGCTGTCTGACATTCGATTTGATTGCAAGCTCGCCTGGGGTAGTTAGGAGGCCGTCCGCGTCAGCCGTTGAGTTCCCTGGGTCATAATTAACTAACGATAGCTTTGCGAGCTTAGTGTTGTTATGTTTGAGCCATTCGAGGCAGGCAGGGAGAAGGTCGAGAATGGTAGGGCGAGAATCCTCCTCCGAGCCATCTCCCAGTTTAGCAGAGGGGAGAGAGGATATATCGGGCCTCTCGGTCTCTAGGGCCTCCTTAAAAAGCCACAGAGCACAATGACTAAGACTGTCAGAGCAGATACCGACAGCACATAATTTGGCGGTCAGTACGGCGAGACTCTGCCGTTCTGCGGACGAAAACCCCATTGACTCATTGATCCAGGAATCCTGTATCTCCTGCACGAGGTAGGGTAAATCAACCCACAGGCGCTCTCCGTTAGGCAGGGTAGCCGTATCGCGGATCTCGGCGGGGGGCAACACATCTCTGTCTTTCTGGTTGACAGGAAAGGGGCCGAGTTCTCGCACTTTCATGATCAGAACCACGAGCCGGTCGTGCTCTGGGTTAAGGGCTGGAGTGGTCCTCGCAACATGGATGAGTTCATCCCAAAGATCATGCAGCCGGCCCTCAATTTCGGAGGCGGTAGACTGGTTGTCGAGATAGCTTCTACCAATACTGTGGGCGTCGTTACAGAGGCCTTCATAGGTTTCCTGTGTATTGGCATGGTCAAACCCTTTGCGCTTTTCTCCGCGGGTGAGGTTGGGGATAACACAGCTGCCGTCGGGACAGTCCATTTTGGTGGAATGGCAAGGTAGTTGAGAAGTTGTGGAGCGAACAGTGAACTGGAGAGGGACGAGGGTATACTCCGTAGATTAAAACCCGACTGCTTCCGTCGCAGCAACAATCGGAGGCAATTATATGCAAGCCAAGCTAGTTTCCACAGGGGAGTAGGTTCCAAGGCCTCTGTACTCTGTACTCCGTACCGGCTCCAGGGAGACAAGCCTATGCGTGGAAAGCACAATGGAATAATTAGTCGTGGGGGGTTCGCTGCTTGGTCTGATATCAGGGTTCAGGGTTCAGGGTTCAGGTTGTGAGCAGGCTGATGACCTAACTACTCCGTACAGAGCCTCTTCTAGGTACCTCCCCACGGGACCGATATTAGCTTCGTTTATTTGAGATAGGCTTGGTGTAGCCCCTTGGGGCGTGAGCGAAGGGGCGTAAGTAACTCCATAGGTAGACGGTACCAAGCCCTGCAAAAGCCAAAGTCCGAAGGAAAAGCAATATAACGTATGCATGTCCATATAACTTTTACTCTACTCTCTTAGTCAACCCAGTGTAAAACCGTTTTTCTAATACCCGATGTTTCGATCGCTCCATAGACTGATATTGCTACTGGATTGCCTATCTAAGGATACCGACGGGGCCAAATGATGGGTTCATCACGCTTCTTACACACGAGGATATGTTGACGAGATGGCAGCTTCACAAAGTAACAGCAGTGACGGTCCCTGTTTTTTTTTTAACTTTCTTAGATATGTATGCGTTTACCCCATACTTGTGTCGACGATCAAAGATATTAATCATTTGACTTCCTAGAGTTATCAAAAGAACAAGCAATGTATAAGCCAGCCTCCTCCCTTCTATCACTGCTTCCTCCCCTTTTTCACACGGCCATGCTTTGAATTGTCGCCTTCTTCGGCACCACTACCGAAGGTTACTTTCGATTTTCCTTTTCCCTTGGGGTCGTCTCCCTCCCCTTGTCTACCTAGGGATTTCGCTTTATCTGAGCCTCTAGATGGACGATGTGGCAATGTCATTTCCTGTGCCTGTGGAGGTTCCCTTGAAGGAGACTGGCTGGCCGAAGGTGCTGGGCGTGACCTAGATGAGGGACTTCCCAGGCTAGGATATCCCCGATGCTGAGGCGGTTTTCTGGAAGGGGTCTCGACTTGTGAGACAGAATCGGATGATGGCATATCGTCGTGTGAGGCATCATACGCTTGATCCTCCATAGCCATAAATTTCTCGGTTAAACGAGATGGCTTTCCCGCAGGATAGTTCCGTGAGAGGTCGATACGACCTTGTTGTCTTTGAGGGCCGGAAGAGAAAGCCGACAGAAATTCTTGAGTTGGCTTGTGGCGATCTTCCTCACCTGAGCTGGGGTTTCCTTCATTGGGTTTGTGGGTCGTGATATGTACTGGTATTTTTTGACCTTTGATTACAACGTATGTCGTTCCCCGTTCCTTAACTACCTGGGCTGGGTGGAACTGAAGCACTGCTGTAAGCATCTCTGAGGAAGATGTGCTATGTAGCTCAATAGAGCCCCTGTCGGAATATGTCCTTCCAACCCGAGGAGACATATGTTCTATTATCCCTCCTGGGGTATCAATCTTCCCTCCTGCTGGAGTATGAGTTAGACCCTGCCAATGCGGAGACTTATCATCAACCCAATCCTGTGGTAGCGTAGGATTATTAGCAGTGTAGCTACCGGGTTTAGTGGTAGCGCACAGGAGGTAGTAAAAACATTGTCGAACAGAGACAACGAATCGTTTCTCGCTAGCGTTTGGAGCAGGAACTGTAGAAGCAGCAATAGGGGGGCTAACGTAAAGGTAAAACCCCGATTCTCCCGACGGTATCTCTTGCTTTAAGAAGATGGTATGGTCGTATGTTGTAAGAAAGCCGTATTTCATTTTATATCGATGCATATACTGTGCAATTTGACCTTGACAGGCTCATATTAACCAACGTGATGTTCTATGTGCGGGGAAGATCAAACATACCAAGAGCACGCCGTAGAAAGGATTGCTTCCCTTGTACAAAGTATCGATTGTAAGAGTCTTCCAAATCATGGTTCCAGGGTGTTTTTGCTTCTCCAACAAACCTCAACTGAGGTTTTTCAGTCAGATCCGCTAGTCCTTTAAAGTCATAAGCGGGACAGTGCACTGCAACGAAGTCCGGAATCAGGGTTTTTTCACCCTTTGCCTCTGCTGAGACCTTGAAGTCGCCAAATCGTGTCATAATGCCATTCGCAAATGCAACGGCCGTGGTAGGCCCAAGCACATTTTGGGCAAATCGCCCACATACAGATTGTTCGTCACCACAAAGGTAATGCTCATGGTCTATGCTGCACAGATTATCCGAGACTCTGTAAACCTTGGAAGAAAGAGGTTCCTTGGAATTGCAATACTCAGAGACCACATGTTGGACTGATTCGGAGAAATTCCATTTTGCCAATTTTCCGTTGTAGAAAATCGAGTGGTAAGCTGACGAAACTGTCTGATATTTTTTGCGGGTAAGCATAGGAAGGGCAGGATGGGCGAGGATTTCAGGACCAGTGTGAACCTCCATTTGGAATGGGGAAGGCAAGGAAATAAATAGTAAATTTTAGAATGGCAATATGGTTAAAATTGGGGTTATAGTAAAAGGGTTATGGTGAAAGGGCTATAGTGAAAGTATTAAAGTATAGGATTTTGTAGTGAAAGGGGACTGTAATGAAAGGTTATGTGAATGGGACAATACAAGAGAGGATTGAGGTCGGCTTCTTGTAGCTTTTAGTAGCGAACTACCCATAGCGAGGTATTATGTGATCATCAAGGCCAGCGCGTATTAATTGGACAGAAGCAGCCGGTGTTTTTACAAATAAATGCTCCGTTGCATGAAATATTCCTCTTCTGGTTTCATGAAAGGCGCTTAAGGTCAAAAATGGGAACAGGAGAGCCAGTCATTAGATGTTGGTTTCTAGCATCTATGTGGGACATAGAGTATTGAATGGGAATGTCGCCCACATTAATGTCAGGGAAATTCGTTATGCTGACATCCTAGCCAAGGGTATCATCCAAGCACCTTTCCTTTAGCTAATGGGATAATGATAATAAATGTTGGCTAGTGGGACGGCCCCGCCCCCATGTCGATGTCATATGTAAATCTAAACTCAGCAAAACAGAAAAATATCATCATTATATATAGTATTCACAGGGGCGAGGTAGTGACAGGCTGAGGTAGTGACCATTACTTGGCAGATCTAAAGCCGAAACTTTTCCCTGTCACTGTTGAGAGCGAAGAGATAAAAAGGCGTTGAAAGTTAAGCGCCTGCGCTAATAAAGTTAAATTGAACTTGGTTACATAATCCTGCCAACTCTATAACTCGCGCTCTAACTGGCTGGGGTTACTACAGGCAACAACGCGAGCCAGCTTAATACTTTCTCTCCGCCCTTTGCATCGTCAAGTCCTCTGCTATCTTCTTGCACATCATCTTTTCATATACCTTTTTTCCTTATATACTGGTATACACCATGGGCCGTGACCGCTATACCCCAAACTGGATAGGTAACCTCTTTGATAACTACAAAGTTAAATGTCCAGATGGGAGTATATGGAGGTTCGACGAAAAAATCAGCGAGAAATCACTTGATATTCAAGGGGCCGACCCTAATTATGTTGTTGCAGAGTCACAGGCAGTATATCACTGCCATCAGACTAAGGGCCCCTCCATTGGTATGGAAGCTATCGTTAAAGTTCGCATGCAGTAAGTTGGACCAAACACCCCGTGGTAGGAAGGTAAGACTTGTAGCAAGCATTCTAATACATAATTCAATAGGGTTCCATTCACATATCCAGCGAGCTCTGATCCATTTGTTCGCTCCTGCGAAGCATGTGTGGGCGTTGCCGCTCCAACAGCTACTGAGGTAGCTGCCTTAGAACATTTTACTAAAAAGGACTGCACTGTGGTTCCTCGTCTTCTACATTGCATCAGGTCTTACCAGGATATATATATGCCAGTACCTGGTAGCTATATAATATTTCTTATTATGGAGAAATGCCCAGGGGTTGAGCTAACCGACTTTTGGGATTACGACGAAGCAAAGAGAAAGAAGATACGGGATGCATTTCGCAAGAATTATACGTATGGGACAATTCTTTCATCGCTTCAAGATCCGAATTAACTCTTTATCAGTGAACTTTTGTCATGCTTTGCCGACCCTGCCGACCCGGGCCTTCGGAATATTATCTATGATGAACAGGAGAACAAATGGTACGACTACGTGACACTAAAATGCTTCCTATATATGCTAACGATATAGTTGGTTTATTGACCATGAGCAAACATATATACTCGAAGACGAGACGCCAATGATGTTCTATGAGAAGGACTTTGTGTATTGGGGTCTGGAAGAATACGTACCTGTTGGCGCTGAGCAATGCGGATGACTGTCCATAGAGGTTAATACCATCACAAATATAACCAGAGTTAGATGGAATCGATTAGTTATCTATTTAGGAGATTATATGGGGACACATATTGCTGCATCTTCACTTTAAACAACAAAATACTACCTGTGTCGGTATTTTCATGATATCAAACGGAGGGGGAGACCCAACCAACGGGCCTACTATGTTCTGGGTTCCATGTTCCCACCAGAAGGTTCCAAACTTCTTCCCTCTTTCAAGAATACTTCACGAGGCGAGACTTGGTTCTAGTCTATTACGTAAGGTCATTGAAGGCCCCGTGATATTTATCATATGATGTTACAAGGTATGTATAGTCTGGTATCGTAGCTAAATAAAATCCACCATTTGATGAATGGACGTGCGGGTATCTATAGAATAGGTATAGTTATGGATTAATGCTGAATTTAAACATAGAAAAAAGAACCCTTATTCAGGTATGTCTTCAAACAAGGAAAATTAAGCGCTGGCGCTAGTTAAGTTGTGTTAGATAACTAGTGTAGTTATTCATTAGTCATCATCTCATCACTCGCGCGCCTCTTTTTGGCCTTCTATGGAAATGCCGGTGGCGCTTCTTTCACAGCTATTAGGTTGGTACTACTTACTCCAATGCTATATATTAATTTCAATAGAACTACAACGCGCCATCTTGGTAACTTGCTAGTCGACTCTCCCTAAACTTCTGCATACCCAAGTCCTCTTTTCTCTCCTTACATACACCATCTCTTGTACCTATACAACATGGGTCGCGACCGCGATGTCCCGGACTGGATAGGCAACATGTTTGATAACTACAGTGTCAAATGCCCAGATGGAAGCATATGGGAACTAAACGAAAAGATTAGCGAGAAATCATTTGTGCTCGATGGGGACGAGCCTGACGCCATCGCAGAGTCCCAGGCAGTATACCACTGCAGGCAGACCAAGGGCCCGTCTATGGGTATGGAAGCCATCGCTAAAATTCGAATGCAGTAAGTTAGACCGCAGACTTCAAAATGAAGGGAGCAAATCATCCTAATAGTATTCAAAAGGGTTCCGTCCGAATATCCAGCGAGCTCAGACCCATGTATCCGTTCCTGTGAAGCTTGTATGGATGGGTATGCCGCTCCGACAGCTCAAGAGATAGATATCTTGGAACACTTTGCTGAAACGAACTGCACTGTAGTTCCTCGTCTTCTGCATTGCGTGATTAAAAATCAAGATATGAACATGCTGGTACCTAGGGGCTACTTGGTTGTGCTGATCATGGAGAAGTGCCCAGGGGTTACGCTGTCCGATTTTTGGGATTATGATGAGGCGAAGAGGGAGAAGATACGAGATGCGTTTCGTAGGGATTATATGTATGGTTTCCCTCCATTTCATTGTCTTTTAAGGTCTGGGCTAATTCTTCTTGGTAGGAAATTAATGGCATGTTTTGCCTATCATGGCGATCCAGGTCTTCGTAACATTATCTATGATGAGCAGGAGAATAAGTGGTAGGTCTATACTACCCCAGAGACAACACCAACTGATACTAATGATGTAGCTGGTTCATTGACCACGAAAGTACATTCATCACGGATGGCCCGAGACCAACGAAATTCTACGAGAGCGAATATGTGCGTTGGGGGCTTAAACCGTATGTGAGTCTCGGGCTGAAATAATTCACCTCATTCGTTAGATATAAGGACAATAATAACAGCCGTACCTGTATTTCGCTATTTTGACTACAAACCGTTTACGCTACTATGTTTGAGGGCACATGGTAAAATTTAGCGCTTACTTCTATTCGGCGGCAGTCCTTGCAGCCAATCGTTATTACTGAATACAAGAGCGAAACTCGTATCATAGACTTCCCCATCACTTTTTGGTATAAGATCAGTCATCAAGACTAGTATGATCACGTGGATATCTGCATACATACACGATTATATAAAAAGAGCCTCAAGGCATTTAAAGGTTGGCAATTAGCCATATGCCTAGGTACTTGCACCTGGAAAGATGGTCGATATCAGGCTACCCGTTTGTGCGACAGTGGTGCCTATGGAAACATATCTCATGATACAAAAATGACGTCTCGCATCCCAGTCTGACGAGGAATCTGGGATAGCGTTAACTCGTTACTTTTCTTGTCCTACATGAGAAGACAGGCAAAACGCCCTTGAGTAATACGAACACTCAGCTAAGAAATCCAGCTGGGCTTTCCATGCTGGCGTGACCAAGGAGAAGAGGCACAGATGGCCAGCCAGTTAGGGCAGCTGTGGCTTAACTTGCGGCTGGATCGTTGAGGGGTTCGCCTACCTATGCTCGAGGGCTGTGATAACTACAACAGCCCCTTCTCTCATCGTCTAGTAGTGACATTTGTTTGGCTACTCTACGATGTTCGGATACCTTAGCTCCACCTCGATATCATGGCCCTGTGATGGCTAGAAGCATTGCTTGGTCAAGGGTAGCCGGGCATAGCCACTAACGCAACCAGTTGACTTCACGGAGGAGAGGAATGTTCTATGGCCTTGCAGCTGATATCAAGCTATGGAGATACCCCCTCATTTTCTTTCACAATGTGCCGCCTTATGATGGGCTAGATGCCAATCTGTCTATAAACGAGAGCTTCCGTTGCTCCTAGCTGTTGATTCATCCAGTCAACAGGTACAGCAACCGTGGCATCTGCATAAATCAGCTGTTTCTCTGTGGCAAGAAACTGCTTCCCTGGTGAATTCTATCTTCCTAGTTCCCTATATATGAATGGTCTACCCCCCTTTCAACAAAGTAGCGGATACCTTCTATTCACCACTCTACAAGAGCTTGCTAGAAGCCATTCCTACTGTTTACCAGCCTGATCCATCCCCAAGCCGAAAGACAAAGCAACAATCATGCCTATCATCTCAATCAACGGAAACGATCTCAATCCCGAGAACCAGCGGCCCGTTCTCCAGGCCCTTGGTCTTGAGTCGGAGGACTCCTCCAAATCCAACTACATCCTCGTCCAGACCAAAGAACCGCTCGAGGATGACCAGGAAGACGAGCTCGAGCGCCTGGGCGTTGATATTCAAGAGTATGTTTCGCCAAATACATACCTCTGCAACTACAAGCCGGCCGACCTAGCTGCCGTCCGCTCTCTCCCCTTTGTGGGATGGGCGAATGTCTATCTAGACATGTTCGTTGTTCAGTCAACGATGAAGTCTGCGTCCAGCACCAACACGGTTGCTGATTTTACTAATACTGTGCGAAAATCAGCCCACCGCCGCATGGTTGATATTGTGCTTCATCGCGATGTAGACTCTACTTCGCAGGAGTTGCATGAAGCCCTTAGCAGGGCTACGCGGGCGGACACTTCATCTCTGAATGTTGAACCTACGAAGATCCGGATGATGGTTCAAGACCAGCACTTGGATGAAATCGCAGCTATCGATGGTGTCCGAAGCATCCTCGAAGTGCACCCGGCGGTGCTATTCAACAACAAGGCTACCCCTATCATTAGGGGTGAGGTTGATACCAACTGTGACCACCCTATTAGCAGTGCAGAGGCCGACAAAGTCGATGCCTTGCCATATGAAGGAGAGGGCCAGATTGTCGCTGTTTGTGACACCGGCTTCGACAAGGGCAGTACAACGGATACCCACCCAGCCTTCAAATGCCGTGTTAAACATCTATATGCCCTAGGACGTACTAACCCGGCGACGGCCGATGATCCGGACGGGCACGGCACCCACGTCTGCGGTTCCGTTCTTGGAGACGGGATTTCGGAGAAGATGGGCGGGAAGATCCAAGGCACAGCACCCAAGGCCACTCTAGTCCTGCAATCCGTGCTGGATAGCAACAATGGCTTGGGGGGGATCCCAGATGACCTGACCAAGCTGTTCATTCAACCGTATAAGGACCATGGTGCGAGAATCCACACCAATTCCTGGGGAAGCGATGCACCAGGCCGTCAGCTTCCGTACGACGTCAGCTGTGAGGAGATCGATCGCTTCGTCTGGGAACACCAGGACATGGTCATTCTCTTCGCTGCCGGGAACTCAGGAATCGACGCGAATAAAGACGGGATCAACGACTCGAATCAGATCGGCTCCCAGGCCGCAGCAAAGAACTGCATTACCGTTGGCGCAAGTGAGAATGATCGCCCAGACATTACGACCACATACGCACCATGGTTCCCAAACAAGCCATACAACACTGACCGTGTTGCCGACCACCCCAATGGCATGGCGGCATTCAGCTCCCGAGGCCCTACCAAGGAAGGGCGTATTAAACCCGACGTTGTCGCACCGGGGACATCTATTCTGTCCACTCGTTCAGCAAAGCTGTTAAAGCCCGGCACTACCTTCGGAACGAGCACCGACCCAGACTGGTTTTTCAACGGAGGCACCAGCATGGCAACCCCGTTGGTAGCGGGAGGCGTGGCCCTCATCCGCGAAGCACTTGTCAAGAATGGAAACAAGAACCCATCCGCCGCCCTGATCAAGGCAATGCTCATCAACGGCGCTGTCGAGTTGCCCGGCCAATACATACCAACCGAAGCCGGCCCATCACCCAACATTAGCTCTGGCTTTGGCCGTGTGCACCTTAAGAATTCCATTTCATCCCCCTGTGATGCCACTGCCGGATACTATGAGGGCGGACCCCTCCGTCGAGGCCAATCCGACCGTAAGTTGGTCATCAGAGTGCCTTGCAAGCCGAACGGCTGCTCGACCTTGAAGGTGACACTGGTCTGGTCTGATCCTCCTGGCGCAATGCTGCAGAACGACCTTGATTTGATTGTCACTGCTGGCTGCACAAAGCGTCATGGAAACATGGGCGAGAAGAAGGGTTTTGATCGGACGAACAATGTTGAGCAGGTCGTATGGACCAATGTGCCCAGCGGCGAGGTCAGGGTGACAGTTCGTGCCCATCGCATCTTCAAAAGACGGTTTGCGCAGTGCTTTGCGGTTGCCTGGAGCCTTGATCGGCCTCTGAAGTAGATTATATTTGACATCTATCATGCTCAATGTAACGTGTTCAGATAGTGATGATAATAAATTGCTATTCTTATAGTAGCCCCCGTATTACAGACTGCCTTCACAGTAGTTATTCTACGCACTCTTCCACCAACCACCTTTATTAACTATGGTATCAATTAATATCAATGGCTATACTAAGTATCGTGAATACGACAAACCGTCTCTCTCAAGGTAGACAGAACGTGTGGGGCGAGGAACCAAACAATGGGCTGCCCTGACGAGATATCACAGTAACTGTTTCCACTCCTTCACCCGCGAGCAGAACCATCCAACCGTGTGAAGGGAGTCAGGTCTGTCCTATATAAGCCGCTGCTCGAACGGCCGTCCAAAAACTAACAAGGCCAGACAGATACAAGGACCGCTAGTTAGGAGCGACGAGTTATCAACATGAAACCAACCGTTCTCTACATTGGAAACCCCATCCGCTGGCACACCGAGCGCTGGGCTGAGCTAGAAAAACGCTGCAATGTGCTATACTACACCAAGCTCCCTCTACCAGAGCTCATCGAGGCCCTTGGCGAAGGAGGAAAATACTCGACCATCGACGCCGTGTTCCGACCCAGCAACACGCTGGCCAACGGCTTCCCCCTCTTCGACAAGGAGTTGATCCCCCATCTGCCTCCGTCCCTGAAGATAATCGCTTCGGTCAACCATGGCTACGACGGCGAGGACACGGAGGCTCTGGCCCAGCGCAAGATATGGTACTGCAACGGCGCCGGGGCCGCCAACGACTCCACGGCAGATCTAGCCCTGTTTCTAATCATAGCTACGTTTCGACGGCTCAGCTTCTGCGAGCATACAGTGCGTTCCTTGCGACGAGGGGACTTTTACGACATCCAGGATAAAGTCGTGGATGTTGCGCAGAATCCGCACGGTAAGGTGCTGGGTATCGTGGGGATGGGGGAGATAGGGCAGGCGGTGGCTACGCGGGCGATAGCCCTGGGTATGAAGATACATTACTTTGGGCGGAAGAGGAAGAGTGAAGAGCTCGAGTCGAGGCTGGGTGGCGCGGTGTATCATTCTGAGCTTGGGAGTTTATTGGGGGTCGCTGATTGTTTGCTGCTGGCTTGTCCGCTTACGCCTGAGACGCATCACTTGCTCAATTCGAAGACTTTCGGGATGATGAAGCGTGGCGTTCGGGTTATCAATGTTGGCCGTGGGAAGTGTGTGGACGAAGAGGCGTTGGCCGATGCCCTTGATGAAGGCATAGTGAGCGCTGCTGGACTGGACGTCTATCAAGAAGAGTACGTCTTCGCCTGCTTTTGCTTTTGAAGGCCGTCCTTACTGACCGTTCGTTTACAGGCCGAAGATAAATGCTCGACTGCTGGATAACTGGAATGTCACGCTGCTGCCGCATACCGGAGGAGCAACCATTGATACTCAGGCTGTGAGCTCACCCTCTCTCATCTCTGGACCTTTATTGAATATCAATCTGACATGCAACGCAGAACTTTGAAAAGATTACCATGGACAACATCGAGGCCTTCTTCTTTGGTGACGGCAAACCCGTTACTCCTGTCAATAAGGTCGAGCCCTAGCCTGCTATCCTATCCCAGCACCTGCAAGGAGGAATCCGCCGTCTTCTGTCTCTGATTTGATATACCGTGAGACGCCAGTTTTGGTAGCACCAGTTGGATCATTCAATGTAGCAATATTGAGTGTTAGAATCTATATGATTGGTAACTAGGATAGTATAGCTTTCAAATCAACTATTTATCCATTATACGAACAGAATCAACGGATAAACGGCGTCTTTCCTTGCATCCTTCTGCGTATGATGACGTCGGCTTGTATATATACATGGATATACATGGCTTATACTAACATCCAACTAATCACTTCCCGTCGCTCCACAGGTTCATCCGTGTTTTCTTAAGGCCCGCAAAGCCCTAGTTTAATATCAAGAAAAATATCCGCTGCATCATCTGATGTGAATATTTTCTTCTTCTCTTGTTCTTCGTCTCGCAGGAAAAGAAAAGAAGGCGATGATGGGCTAAACATCGACAATTGAGCCTGAGTCTGCCTTGCTTGCCAACCCGACAACACATCGGCTTCATATACACATTACAGCTATCTAAAGAGAGACACCATATACAAAGAGATAAAGAGAGACAAGATACCATGGCAGACGACAAGCTGCGGGCATATGGGCTACGGCCTGAGTCGCGAGTGCTCATCATCATGACCGGAGGCACCATCTGCATGCGCCCTTCGCCATCAGGATTTATACCAGCTCGGGGTTTCCGGGAGGCTGCCCTGGAGCCATCGCCGGTCTTCAACGACGGCTCAGAGCCAGGCGAGCTCGACGTCGTGGTGAATGCATCGGGGGAGCGGGTCAGCCACCGCAGCCTGCGGACGCCCCTGAGCACTTACAACGCCCGTGTACGCTATGCGGTCTACGAGTTCGAAGAGCTGCTCGACAGCAGCTCGATCGACGCCAAAGGCTGGGCCCAGATCGCAAGGGCGATATCCTGGAACTACACGATCTTCGACGCCTTCGTGGTGCTGCATGGGACGGACAGTCTGGCGTACACCTGCTCTGCGCTCAGCTTCATGCTGCAGAACCTGGGCAAGCCGGTGATCCTGACGGGCAGCCAGACGCCGATGCTGCAGCTCCAGAATGATGCGGTGGATAACCTGCTGGGATCGCTGGTGATAGCGGGCCATTTCATGATCCCCGAGGTCTGCCTGTACTTTGACGGCAAGCTGTTTCGAGGCAATCGGACGACCAAGGTGGCCGCCAGCGACTTTGCTGCGTTTGCGTCTCCGAATGCGCCGCCGCTGGCTACGACGTCCTCGATGAAGACGGACGTGGCGTGGGACCTGGTGAAGAAGCCGACGAGCATCCAGCATTTCAGGATCCGGACGAACCTGGATACGACGCATGTGGCTTGTCTGCGCATCTTCCCCGGCATACAGCCTGAGATGGTGGACTCTGTCCTGCGCCTGCCCGGCTTGCGAGGGCTGGTGCTGGAGACCTTTGGTGCAGGCAACGCTCCCAGCGGACAGGACAATCGCATGACCAAGGTGCTTGCCGATGCCATCAAACGGGGGATTGTCATCGTCAACGTCACCCAATGTATGCCCTCCTTCTACCCAACTATTCTATGTCGGATGAACTGCTAACTGGCTGGTATAGGCCTGTCCGGAAGCGTGTCTCCGGTGTATGCTACTGGTATGACACTCTCTCGAGCCGGCGTCGTTGCTGGCGGCGACATGACGACGGAGGCAGCCCTGACCAAACTGGCCTACCTGCTGGCCATGCACGACGCTACACCCGAGTCCGTGGCCAGAGATATGTCTATATCCCTACGGGGAGAGCTATCAGACCGCCACGACCCTCTCTTCCGACACCCAGACGGCACCCTACCCGACAGAGTCAAGAACCTGACCGCGCTCGGCTACGCCATCTCCCACGGCGACCTCGGCCAGGTCACTGATATCATGCGCGGAGGCCAGGAATGGCTCCTCAACGACCGGGACTACTCTGGCAACACCCCATTGGTATGATTCTCTCTTTCTTCCCTCTTTCGTGTATACTAACGAAGATAGCATCTGTCTGCCACGTCTCCTGACATATCTATCCTCCGTTACTTTCTCCTGCACGGCAGCTCAGTGCATATCCGAAACAACTCGGGCAAGACGCCTCTCTTTCTCGCGGCCAACGCCGGCCTGGTCGACCATGTAGAGCTACTTCGCCGCTCCGGAGCCCATCTGCACGCTGACGAGCTTACGGTGGCCGAACTCCACGCCAAACGGCGACCAGACATCTGGGCCCTGGCCGGCGTAGACGTCCAGTGTTCGAGCAAGCAGAGCGGCGACCTGGCAGAGAAGCTCAAGGCCGAAGCTGAGAGCAGACAGAGCTCAGGGACTACGACTCCAGAGGTCACTCTTCCACTGCCCAACGGTCACTGACAGATATAAAACAAGCATAGCCCCTGATGTCGCCCGAGTGAGCCATATATATACATGATCATACACTCTATATATGATCGTTATAAGACAAGCATCCCTTATCTTCTTGACTATGTCGATGCCTGCCCTGATCCCTGAAGCGGCTGCCTACGCTTGGGATCTGGGGATGTCTCGACCGCTTGGTACACTTTGTATGAAAGTACACAGTATCGTCTGTCAGTCTGTTGTAGAGTGTTGGTTGCTGCTAGTAATCTAGTTATTGATATCGCCTTGTTATTTGGTAGCCAAAGTAATATAAAGATAATACACGCATACAACTATACACATACACACACATATATATACAAGTCAAGATACAAGAAACATCTCGTATATAACACCGAGAGTCCGTCTCTTGTTGCTTGCCCCTGTTGGCCTTTATGTTCTTTCGCATAGTGGATATTCTTAACATCGCACACTCAACATCCTCGAGCACGAACAACGAAGACATCACAGGAAGAATCGCATCTTCTCCTACGGCTAGAACACTGAAAAAGCCATCGTCCTGCCGGTTTGATCGCTTACATGGAGGATCCTGGGGCCTTGAGCGCCGTTCAACCATCGTAACCCAAGGGTTCAACCGCCCCTCGACCAGCAAGAAGCAGAAAGCAGACCAGAAGAGAGAAAGGGCTCAGAGCGATTGAGTGAAGCTGGATCGCACGCTGAATACACGGTTGATCGCTTGTCAGAGTTGTCCCGCTCTTGACCGAGTCCATACTTATACTTAACGGACATATAAAAAGTACCAGTGAGATGCCCCTCACCAGAGACTGATATTGCATCCAAACAGCTAGAGCTAACTAAACGATAGTAGAACATCCGAATGCCACAGGCCAAAACCATTGCGATCGTCAATGCCACCGGCCGTCAAGCCGCGTCCCTCATCCGTGTCGCTGCGGCCGTCGGATATGATGTGCGCGCGCAGGTCCATACCCTCGAGGGCGTCATCCCACAGGATACCGTCCCCGGTGCAGGCGCTGTGAGCGCATTACAGCCTTCCCCGGCTCTATCTCTCCTCGCGATTGCACACGCATCTGGAGCCCTAGTCATTCATAACGTACAGACGGATAAGCCTGTACT